TTTGATGCTCGAACGATATTATATACGTCAATAATAGTTATTACTTATTATATTATGATTATTAAAATGATTGGCAACTTAAGACTTTTCCACTAATCGACTGAAAGGGAGAAAGAGATATGGCCGTTTTTTCAAACGAATAAAACATTTTACACCCAAAAGTCAGATAAAACTGTAAGAATTTTGTCGATTGATTTTAATTTTGAAAACGTCTTATGATTCTTTAAGTTCTTCAATTTAGGATACGTAGGAGTTATTTTTTTAATTTAAATTTTCTTGAATATAAGTAATACAATTTACATAGGTGCATATTCGGAAGTGTTTGGAAAATTTAATCAAAGTTTTTTTTACGATTTCAATAGAATAATCATATTTTTATTTCAAATATATCCTTTAGTAAAAAACCAAAAGAATTATGATCCGTTTTCAAGATTAAAATCCGTTAAATATAATAATTGCTATAGTTTTCTAAATAACTGTAGTTCTAAATCTACTGAAATGTAATATACTACGGAGCGGAATTTTAACATCCTCATAAATTGCGAAATGCGGTGATTTTTACGATTTTCATCTAGCCGTTTTCATTAAGTCAACGATATCGTGGGTGTTTTTTTTAGATTTATCCGATATTGATATCCAAAGGGATTTTAATAATGTAATTAAATGGTTAAAATAATAAGTATATTAGGTAGTTACAAGTGTTATAATCAAGTAGGTAAACGTCAAACGGTCGAAATAGCACAACAATTACAGCTACGAAATTATAGCGCTATAATTTTTTTATATTACAAAAACTCTACCCAAATTATCACATAAAGGAAACGTGTGCTGCTAAGAGAAATATATTTTAATAAAAAATTTAAGATTTTTGACCTCTTTGAGTGTAGTATAAAAACTGATAGTTTTTTTTGAATTTATGAACATATCTGTGCCTAAGTATGTGGTTGAAAAAAACAAAAAATATTGAAACGGGAGTATAAATGATTTCGATAACTAAAAACACATCGAATAACGTTGGCCAAGACATAAATTTTATATACATGCGCTTATATAACTAATTTTTTTTTTAAATAGTACCCCTGCACATTTTTTCTATAGAAATTCGAATAGAACTTTATTTAGACATTTTAATGTACAAAAAAAAAAAAAAATTACAATACCGGCATATCGCTATAAAATTGGAATATTATGTAAAGTTTGCAAAAAAGTATAAATGGAAAGGTTAAAAAGCTTCCCGACAGGAAGTTCCTGATACCTATATTTATCGGGTATTAAATAGCAGATCTGGAGATCATCTGTGCTGTTAGGATATTGAAAAAATTAAATTTGGATACGATTTAAAAAAAAAAAAACAAGTAAATTGTTTTCCGTATGGACGCTCAGAATGGGTTACATAGTAGTTTGACATTTGAAAAAGATTAGATTCAGTCTTATTCGCGCCGTAATCATACATTCGCGGTTCAGCTAAAATTGTAAATTGTATAAAAATAAAAATGTTATCGTGATTGTGACATGAATATATAATATTTCCCCTGTGCCTTATAATATATAGTTCAAACTTTAAATATTATGTTCGTAAACGTTTTGAATGAGCAATAAAAATGTTTTTGAATATAAAATTTAACGATTTTACGGCGAATATAAAATATAAAAATTGACAATTCCTCGTTGACGCTTTTTAGTTTTTCCTTTCGCTATTGCTACAACAATATAAGAGGATTTATAAAAGTTTTGCAAAAGTTTTTCCACCAGGTTCACCAACGACATGTAAAAATGAACGCAATCGCGTCGTATAAACCCACGAACTTGCGTTATGATATCATAGCATATACATTCCCGTATTTAGGGGGGCTCGGAGCGAAAATTTCCGCTAGCGGTAAAAATTTAAGGGATGACAATTTTTTTAAAAAACTATTGAATTTATATGACATAAAATAAAATAATAAAAAAAACAAAACATTGGTACTGCTGACGGGTGGACGATTGTCGTAAGTGGGAAGTTGGAAATCGCATTAGTATATATTGTGTTATAACAGCTCTTCATTATGATTTAGACAAATTTACTGAATGGTGTAACAAAAATAATATACCTTTATGAATACTTCTAAATATGTAAGTATCTCGTTCAACCGTTTTAGGTTTGCTATTAACTCTAAATACTATTTATGCGGTAACCTCCTTGATTCAGTTAGTATAGTATTCGTGAATACGATTTTATTCTTTCATCTGATTTGTCATTTATATCCCATATAAATGATCTGTATAGTAAAAATCTTTGTATGTTTGGTTTTTTTAACGCGTTTGAAATGACTTCAATAACCCTTAACATCTTTAAGTTTTATACTGCGCCTTAGTGAATATGGAACCATTTTATGGAATCGTAGTCGGTCTAATTTAGTTAATAAATTGGGAAAAGTCTAAATTCGTTTTATACGATTTTGTATTTTTAAATCAGGTTGGTCTAATCAAAATGTTGAGCAGGTTGCCAAAAATTTTGAACTGAAGACATTAGCCACTAGAAGATTTTTATTCGACATTGTTTCCTTGTACAAAATCATTAATGATAAAGTTGATTTTCCGGAATTTTTACAAAAAATAAACTTAAAAGTTCCAACTTATAACTCCAGGAAAACTGATCCATTTTGAACATCTAAATCTACAAAACAATTTTTCTCTAATAGACTTGTGTGCGCCACGCCACCTTCCTAAATTAAGTAATCTTATTGTTAATTATGTTAATTTATAATTCACGTTGTGAACTAAAGATTAATATTTGTAATGCTTTTAATTAATTTAGTTTTCAATACCTAACTAATTGTTGTAATTGTACTTTATTATCTGTACTTGTAACATTTGGGGTGTTCATATTAATAAATAAATAAAAAAATCTATGTAACGAAAAATGATCTTAAGTTAAAGATTTTTTTTGAAACTTGAAAGTTTTTCGGTTTAAAATTGAATTTTTGTATCAGATCAGAAGCCGTCAGTCGTGACGGATTTCTAACGGACGGCGAATAGTCAACGAGCCATTCAACGACCGGGATTCGATGACTTGGTCTCGTAAACAATTTAAATTTTTAACTAAAAAAACATTAGAATCCATCTTATTTTTTGGGTGACACAACACCTACCTATGGTTTTCGTCATCATAATTATTATCGGCTTCTTTAGACTAAGCCTCGTTATATCCAACCACTTCTATCATTCACTGTTTCCTTCAGGACTATGTAAAAAGAGAGATTGGAGTCCTTTAGCATGTCTTTAAACAATTAGGTTTTCGTTCTCCTTCTGATTCTTCTTTTCATAACTTTTCCTTCAAAGACGGTATTCAGGAATATGTTGTTTCGGGCGATGTGACCTAATAGTCTGGTTATCCTCTTAATAATGCACTTTGAAAGATTTTGTTTTTCGTTTATCCGCATTTCCACGGAGCCAGTTTATTTTGTCTGTTTGATCACGATCCATGTTTCACAATCGTATCAGTTTAGAATACTCCAAGCACAAGTTTTAATACGAGTCTTCTTGCAAGAGTATGTTTAATAGTTTGTAGATTACTCTACTGTCTTTCAAAGACTTGTTCGGCAAGAGAGATACAATTATTCTTCGGCCTAGGCCGACGAATACAATCGAAAATTAATGTATGCGGAGCTCAGAAGGTCCGGTTGCGGCCATAATCCTATAAGACCTACCGGCTCTTTTGATTAGCTGGTATCCAAGATTCCCGTTCGAAAAATATCCGTGCGACAATTAGCGTATAGCCGTTGGGTATTATTACGGTCGTATTATTTTCGTCGGGGTCATAAACGTTCGGTCGAAAAGCGTTGTAATATAAGATAATATTACGGCTGATGAATATAATATGGTCGTCGATTTATCGCCGTAGTTAACGCGGGCGTAATGCGCGTTTTAATCGGCCGCGGCGGTGTTCGTCGGCGTACAAAACCGATAAATTCTTACTGCGGCGTACCGTGCCGTATAGGTGATGTACGCGCGCGGCGGGAACGCGTCGCACAAAAGTACGGGACGCGTGTATCATAATAATAATGATAATAATGATGATGATAATAACATAGTCGGCGCGTAGTTAATTAGAACGCGGCGCGCGCGCGCGCGCGCGCTCTCGTCCGACGGCTCGTCCGTAAAACGACGTCACGGTCGGTACACGGTATGGTATATAGTAATATACCGTATACGGCGGCGGGCAGTCGGTGAGGAGGAGGAGGTTGTGGAGGGGCAGGAGTGGCGGGAGGCGGCGCGGCAGGCGAGAGCGGGGTTCGGCCGTGGGGACGGACGTCGGCGGCGAAACGACACAAGGGTTGTGGGTGGCCGGTGCGGGGAGGAGGTAGTTAAGTTTAAAACACCCATCAGTGTGTATTATGCGCGGGCACGCCAAAATCATATTTACGTTCTGACCCGGGGGCCGTCGCGGCGTCCGCGGCGGGTGTTGGCGCGCGCGTGCGCCGCCGCGTATCCGGGGCCAGGCGAACGCGCTGCCCGGCGGTGCCATGGCGTCGTCGCGGACGGGCGGCGCACGCGCGACCGCCCCGCTACGCCCCGACGCGGCCGCGTCGATCCTGCCCACGGCGCGGCGGCGCGACGACGGCCGCGCGTGGCGGTGACGACGAGCGCCGACCGACGCCGCCGCCGCCGCCGCCACCGCGCGCGCCGGGACGCCGTCGTCGCGCACAGTGCCGCCGGACGCGCAGACCGTCGCGGGCTATACGAGCGATAACCGTAACGCACGGCACACGGCACGACAGCGCACCGCACACGGGCACGTTTGCGCGTATACGTTTCGGGCGCACAGCACGTCACGTGGTCACCGGTGACGATCCAGATCCGTCACGCGCTCGCCCGCTACGACCGCACCGACCGAGTATAATAATTATTTTCATTATAAAACAGCGACCGGTACATATTTTTTGCACGGCGGGAAAAAAAAATAATATTAATAACAGTAAACGAAAATCAGTCGAATGACGGGCGAACCGCGCGCAGTTACCGTTCGGGCCTACGATAATGGGTTACGGATAACGGCCCCGCATACGAAATAATACAAATTGAACGAAATATAAACATAAGTGTACCGCATAAAATTTCGGTCGGAAGCGAAAAGAAAAAAAAAAAAAAACGCCACAACCGCGAGTTTGAAATTCCGCCCGAACACGATCGCGACAAGCAGTCGTCGCGCGAATACGCCGCACGAATATCCGACGCGGCGCGATCCGGACAGTTCGGAAACAGTACGCGCGATAATATCGTCGTTGACATTGTTCCATACATGGTATGATGACCATGATGTACGGATCGGAAAAAATGATGGCCGGCAAACCGCCGCTGCCCATCTCAGCCACCGGGCCGTGTTTTCCCGGTCGGTATTCGCCGACGTACCGAAATTCCGCGGATCCGATGCGCAGATGTATGGCCAACCCGTCGGTAAGTCCCGCAACACTACCTGTATAAATATTATTGTATACGATTGATAAATGTTGCGTGTTTTCTCTTCTTCTCTTACGTGTGCTCTATTATTTACCGGGTTTATGGCGTATTATCGTTATGTCCAAAGGGCAAATCACTAACGGAAATCGGTTTGCAAGTGTTTGATAATCATATGGAAATCTTTGGTGTTGTGCACGAAATCCTGTATGGGAAATCTCGATAATTACCGGGAAAATCAAAGTATTCAAGAACCCGGTGTACATAATACTAAACAGTGATTTTCCCTCTGGTTATATTTATGGGCGTCCGGGAATCGGGCCACAATGAGTCTTTTTTCAAAAAGGTGTACGGTGATCGGACCACTGTTTTAAACGATTTTTTATCATTGAATTCGGTAATCGGGCCACTATATTTCAATAAATTTTAGATTTGACAAAAGCAAATCTCTATTCAACACCGATATTTTAAACCATATTATTATTTTTTCCACGATCACAAATTAAAATTTCTCATTTGTTCGTTATAATCGATTTATGTCGACGGGACTTTCGAATACTGTGGCAAAGCAATCTGTATCACGTTATTTTTTTTTAAAAAAAAAGATAATTTAGTCGAATAATTTTATATTTATTAAAGAATAAAAAAAAAAAAACTGAATGTAATTACTATCGTATATGAGAAAAAATTAATAATTATTTGACTAATTTTATAGGTATTGTGTTATGCATTTTAATACATTTAAAATTATATATTTTTGTGTTAAACGTTTGCGGCCCAATAAAAATATACCTTTTATTTGTGGCCTAATACCCGGGTAATAAAATGTACGAAAATACTGTTTACGAAGCTGGTAGATAAAACGTGTTCCGATTCCCGACCGCCCATATTCATATGCGAGCATAACATACATATGCATTTGTTAGTACCGGTGTGTATATTGTATGCAGTCGGTATTGCTATGCGCGGCATACACGCAATTTCGAACCGGTCCGTTTTCTTTTGTTTATTTGTTCCATTTCAGAAATTCGTCCCGTTATCCCATCTGATGGGTTACAACAATATAATATACGGCCCGCCACAACGAAAACCGTCGTATCTCCATTCAGGTCGCGTGTTTTTTCAGGACCGACCGCGAAAAAGATCGCATCAAGTACTCTTCCAAAGAGATTATAGTTATATAGATTAGAAGTCGGAAAAAGTGAGATACGACCTTTTTCGATTATCAATAAGACTATACGAGATTAAAAGTTGGACCTTTTTCGTTGCCGCCGGCGATATACGAATGTTGTTATGCTCGCCTGAAAATATACCGAACACGAACAAAAAGTTTTACATCGAAATCAAAACGACGAGGGATGTGTTAAAATGTTTTTAGCCATTTGTTAAAATGCGAAAACGTTATTCACAATAATTTGGATTAATAATAATTTACGGGTGAAATTTCCGCGAGGGGTTTTACTCCCGATTATTTATTGAAGCTTTTACGGTTAGCTGAGAACGTTTAGCGTTATATTACCTAAACCACGATAATCATTATCACGAGGACATAATCACGATAATATCGTTTCAGAGAGGCGGGGAAGGGGAATGAAATTCGACTTTGCTAAGATACTTAAAGTTTATACCTACGCACATTGCATAATATTATGCAAATTATGATTTCGAGAGGGGGCGAACAACCCCTCCACGAAGTCGTTGTTCACCCACGACGTGCGGATCGCGAAAATATAAGTAAACAACGTCTTAGAATGGCTTATGCTTTTATATGATGTTAAAATTCCATAAAAAAACACATTGCGTAAAAACACAATCAAGCATATTCTATGTGGTTGACGTTTTTTAATTTGTTTGGTACTCAAAAATCACACCTGTTTTATTTTCGAAAAAATCTAAATTAGAAAACTATATGTTTAAAGAATTTAATATATTGCTAGACGAACAAATAACATCGCGTTAAATAATTAATATGTAATTAATAATTCTAACGTTGATTTAATTAATATTTTATTGTAAAATAAAAAAACGTAATGGTTTTTTTAAGATTCTGTGATCTTAGAATTCCCGAGAAGTGTTAGTTTTATTAAGATGTTTGATTTTTCTCGGAACACACTTTTTCGATTAGTCTTAATAATATACATAGATTTTGTCAAATCATATATTTAATGATACAGATTTTTCGGGAAATTCCTAATATTTTTTCAAAAAAAACTTTTTAAGTTATTTTGTAATCACTTTCTTGGTTAGTCAAATATTCCAATTTATCCTATTTGTAATATTTGAAAAATTAAACAAGTGTTTTTTTCTTAACAAACACTTTTTCGGTTAGTAAAAATACTCCAAATTATTTGCCGATTTTTTTGCTAAATAGCATTTTTTTTTGGAAAAAGGTCTAAATATTCCTTTAGATATGATTTGATTGACAATTCTTTAATTCTAATGTGTTAAAAAAAAAACACAAATTATGAATAATAATAAAAACATATTTGTAAGGATAACATTTCACAAAAAGGTTTTGTAGGTAACTGTTTTTTTTTTGATAACAATTATCATCTTTAATTTTTTTCGTTTTTGTTTAAAAACTCTAAATTTACCCAAATCGCCACGATTAAAGTTATTTGTGGTGCGATTCCTTCCGTTGAATACGCGGAGACAGCTAAACTGCAGTGAGTTTAACGTCCTCTCAAGTTTTAAAAGATGTAATATTAGTAAAATGGACAATTGAAGACAACTACGTTTTAATACGAGATTGCGTGTAATTTGCAAAAAAAAAAAAAAAAGCATTTGTGAAAAGACCGAATTTTCCCTTACCTATTTTGTAAACTGGAAATATTCTTTAAATTTCTTCGTTTGAAACAATAAATAAACAAATACTATTATATAATACAATATTATTCTGTTTTACAACTATAATACTTTAAAAAAAAAAAAAATAAAAATAAAAATAAAAAAAATGGTTAGAGCAAAGGTTGATGTTGAAACATCTAAAACGCTCATCTTTGATACAATACGAGTACTAATTGCCACGCACACACAAAATCCCTGGCTTTATTTGGGCGATCCGTATAGATTTTCAAAGCAACAAAATACCTTTTGTCATATCAACATCAATGATCGTTAAATTTCTATTAAAATGCAAACACTTCAATCACTGCGGTCCGCCTATAAAATAATAATTTTAATTCTTGAGTTTGAGCACATTTGGTGTAAATATAGACGGTAAAAGCGCATGAAAAAGTAGCGGGTACACTATACATATCTATGCCACACACAATACAACGCAAAAGTGTCTATTTTCGTGGAAAATTCGATAAAAACATAAATCTGCAGTATTTCTAATCCACAAAAACCGTTTATAACCCAAAACAATTTAATGCGTTTGACGTATATATTTTCCAAAATGATCACGTACCTATAATGTATCTATAAACTTTGTAATATGAATCCATCGTACTATACAATATCGAATATTATTACTTTTATTTTTAACGCAAAGGATTGATGCAAAATTCTTTATATATATATGTAACAGTTGTTTTATATCAAATAAACGATTCATTTATCGTATATAGTGATTTGAAGTTTGAACATGTGTAAGAGAATCGTGTTATTTTATTTTCGCGCGGATCGCGTATTATTTCCAACCAGACACGAGCATCCATATCGTATACTTATATAAATTTAATATTATTATCATTGAATAGTTTGGTATAGGTATCCATCTAATATCTTTGAAATATAATTTTATATATATGTTTCCATTTTCTCTCAAAGGAAATCAAAGAACATTTTCTTTCGTCGAAACATCGATTTAACTACCGGTTATTTGTTATTTATATCCACTAACATTCTGTTATTTTTTTTGTTCGCGTATTTCGACAGGTCATAAAATCCATTCACGTGTATACTGTATAGTATAGTATACGGGTACAATATCGATGATTAAATTAAATATCTACAATTACCTTTACTGGTAAATAAGGTAATTTCACAGTCGACAGACAACGCGCGAAGTTTGTCCTGATTTTTTATTATAATAAATAGATAATATTGCGTAGGTGTTTAATATTTATAGTTGTCAAAATATAAACTCCCAAGTTTACATCATGTTATTATTTATATTTGATTTTTGATGTATTCAAATTAAACGAATATTTAAACACATTATATTAATATTTATCATATAACCTAAATAATAATTAAATCTAACTTATAAATTCAAAAACCACGTTTCTTTATATGAAAACCAATAATTATTAATTTAAAACATAACATAATTATTGCAGTATATTTGAGTGAATCATTTTTTCAAATGTGATAAAAGTGAAAATACAACGAATTCAAACTGTATGATACATTACGAGTAAATTCTTTTTAGTGATTTAATCTTAATCATTGGATCGGGGATTTGAAAATTAATAAACTATAAGTTATAAACTTATAACTAAATAAATATAGATATAAATAAATGTGAACATTTTTTTGAATATTTTAGATCGGAGTGGAAGTGGTTTTTTTTTCTCGGAACACTCGCACTTTATAAATTCCACGATAAGAATCTTTTTTCGAACGCGTAATAATTGAACGATGTTTTCGACATTAAATTTGAAAAAAAAAATTGCTATTGCTGACAGTTTTGCCACTGTTACAGGTGAGGAGTTGTGAAGTAGGGATGTAGAGTTATTCAATATTTATATCTATATTCAACGATAAACCATTGCTATCGAAAAACGATTCTAAACAAAGTATTATTAGTCGTATATTTTTTCTTGTTTAACATGTTCAGTTCAAAATGCTTTGAAATGCCGTGATGTTATTGATTTTTGAGTTATTTTCAGATTTATTTTGCGCTCATGCAAAATTGCTAAAAATTAAACCAAATTTATATATTGTAAACCCGGGTATAAACCAAGAGAGTTTATACAAAGAAAATGGGGTGAATATAAAATTATAAATAACTATTAATTACTTCGTTTAATTATAATTATTATTTTTTTTTAATAACATGCGCATGAACTCAAAATCAATGACAAACACGGAAAAGAAATTGAGGGATTTCGAAAACAATGTTTGGAGAAAAATGTGTGACTACTGATTCAGTAACACAGGAATGATGTATAGTCACAGGGACGAAAGTTTGAACCGTGAAACATAAATTTAAACAATTATTTGGATCAGTTAAAAATATAGCTACATGAAAGGAGAAAAGGAAGAAAAATGTTAAAAAAAACTTTATACCTATATATACCCGTCGACTTACATTGTTTAGATGGTTGCGGTTTTCGTGTTTCACGGTTTATCGTTTTAAAACTTAAAGAGTTGTCAAAGTTTATAATTCTGTATGTATAATAATGAAAATCACGTTTTTTCCTTCAAAGTTAGAACGCTTTTGGATTAAAAGTTATTTAAAATATTAATAATTTATATATTATATACATGGTGTAGCTTAATATCGATGACGCAAAAATGGTATACATTTATAATTAATTATATACTACGTACAAGTATTGTTAATAACTAATAAATTATTACTTTTAAGCAAATCGATAATATTGAAAAATATCGTTTTAAAAAAACTCCGAGAAATATTTGAAAAAAACATTTGTTCATAATATTATATTCTTATAAAATACAAGGACACGAACACATTAAGATTATGTAATCAGGAATACACTGAACTAGCGGTGATAATGGATTATATTCATCAACACGTGAGTTCAAAATCCATTTATTAATAATTCAAATTGTACATTCAATGTTTTATATGATAATGTTACTATTGGGTGAATAAATACTCGAGCGGATCAATCGGGTTTTCTTCATTGTCGTATAACAATCATACAATTTACGGCCGTCAAGTTACCGGTAACGTCGGTTTGGTTTAAGTAATCTGTCATGGCGTCTCAACGACTGGTAGTTTTAGCCGATCTTGAGAGGAATATTACGTATATTATGAAGGGGATATAAAAAAAAAAAAAAAAAAAAAAAAAAACGAAAAATCAATCAGTGTCGGTAAAGCGCAGAAGGCCTACGTAAAGGGAGGGGATAAGTGATAAGATTACTTAATATTCGCTGTGGAAATTAAACGAGTCTCTGCGAACATGACAAATCGATCTCAGAACGGAAAGTGTATACTGTTAATAAACGGTTATGTTATGGATTCAATAGTTGGGTTTATTCATACGTTTTCAAATCAACGATAAAAATTATTAAAACGAAACAGATTAGTAACGTTTTGTCTTTTGTTTTTTTTTAAAAAATTTTTTACGCTTTTGATAAAAAACAATTTTCGTACAAGCGACAAGTTCGGTAGGTAGGCATTCATATTTGTAATTAAAAAACATGTTTGTATTTCGAACGAAAACACACACCGGCCGGGTCCGGGGTTATCGCGCGCATCGGTGTCACCGCCAAAGACACACACATATAATCCCGTGACACCCGAACAACATTCTTTCGTGTTTTTAGGTTTTCTTTCGTTCTTTCATGTGATAAACATAAACAAAAACCAGTTCGTACCTACCGCCGTAAATGCGTACGACAATGCAACGGTTACATGATAGACAGTTCCCGAATTCCGTCCCGGGCCGGTGAACTGTTCGGATTCCGGGCCGCGCTGGAGCGACTTGGTCCGGATTCGGTCGCTCGCGGCTATCCCCGGCAGCCCGGATTCACTCGGCACAGTGATAATTCCCATCGCATTTTCTCCGGGCCCGGGGCCGACCGCCATGCCAGCAGCGCGTTTAGAAAAAAAAAAAAATAGTAACGCTTTACTTCGCGGGCCCGCGTATGTCGGGCGCAAAAACGCTCATCCAATTTTTCCCTTTATTTACCCGATATTCAACAAAAGAACCCGCGAGTCGGGCCGCACAAACACCGTCGTGTTTTTCGAGTTACTTCATTACCGTGGTGTTTGTTACGGCAGGGACGGAATTCGCACGTAGCCGCACAATAGTGTACATTATATAATTATAGAAAATCGCCGTTTACAATGAGTTATACAATATCATTGTAGACGTTTTTTCATTTTTTTATAAATATAAACTTATTTCCTGGTTAGCCAGCCGTACCTCGAAACAACATGACGAAACGAAATCGAAATATTCTCCCGTGTTCGCGCGGCGGGTAAACAAATTATCCGTCGAACATAAAATATCGGAAAAAAAAAAATAAGATTTTCTCGTATACAGTTATGTTATCCGTATAATTTTTTTTTATCGAACGTCAATAACGTTTTATTATACATGCTCGTATAAATGTAATATACGTTTAAATAACATCAAGTATACCGTCGCGGTTATTGTTTTTTGTTTTTTTATTTTTTTTTTTTAACAATTCAACTATACAGTCATCATAATATAATAATAATAAAAAAAAAAAAAAAATACGCGTAAAAAAAAATAATAATCATAATAATAATACTACTAAACGCCTCGCTACATATGACTTTTACGAGAGTGAAAATACACCGGCTATATATATTTATGTATAAGTTAAACGAGTCGTGTTTCGTGTGCTGTTCGACATGGCGAAGGGTAAAAATGTATACGCGCGTGAAAAGTTTTGTATTTATTTGCGAACTTTCGTCCGTATGTACCTACCTATCTATATGTATACATATATATATATATATATTCGTTTATCGATTTCGACCTCGTATACCTACGTAAAAAAAAAAAAAAAACCAAACACACATCACGCATCAGCAGCAGTATATATTATATGCTTCGCTATATGTCTGCGTTATTATTATGATTATGATTATTATTATTATAACGTAGTAGGTATATATTTGAGGGGACGTAAAGTTTTCCGTTTGCGAAACATGCATCAATATATCCGTATATTAGTCCGTATTACGTGCCCGCACATTTCCCGCCGTTAGATGTACAATAATTTTGCACGTAAGAAATGCGGGGCATTTTTTAAGAAGGTTATTTCTATGTTCAGATGCGGGACACACAGTTTGCATAAAGTCTATTACGGGAAACCTAGTAGTAGTGGCGGCGTGAAGTTTTTGTTCCTCCCGTGAAGCAGTTTTAGTAAACGTAAAATTGCAAATAACTAACCAACCCAATCCCAGAAGAATCAGAAGCCGTATACTGAGGCTATGCTATAGACTTATTGTAGTTCATCCTTTTCGTTAACATATGTTATGATAAAATATCACACATCCTGCCGTCCATTCAGTTAGTTAGATGATGAAGCAGCTGCTTTATAACGATACCCATTCACGTCCCCGTGCAACAGTAAGAGATTTTGCTTACTGTGTGTCCACTAAAAAATAAATGGTAAATGTTTGAAATAGTAGATTGTGTAACAACACATTTTATTTTATTTACCAGTATAATAGTGATCTCATTGTATTGTATCAGTTTATCGAGTTTCACTTGGAATTATTATTTTAATGCAATCATTGATAATTACCGTTGCTATCAGTACGTACAAACTAGTTATAAATTACCCTATGTATAATATAAATGGTCTACTAACGGTGCGAAACTGCGAAGCATGTCCAGCATTTTTTTAGTTATTTACTGTCACGTTGATCCGTATAAATACGTATACGGTGACAACATATTATATTTCACAGACTAGACATATATTTATTATTATTCGCGTTTATTTTTTATTATCCTATAATATAATGGTGTAAAAAAAAAAAAAAAAAACACCTACACTCGTCCATCACGTAATATTGTAATTTTATTCCGTTAAAAGAGAATAAAATATTAAGTAATCATATGAATATATTATGCTACACAATTAGTTGGGTTGTGTGAATTGTGTGACGTGTTGTATCGCACAAGTCTCTATACGTACCTCGGTTGATTTAGAGTTACAATTTTTTTATGATGATGAATACATATAAAAATGTATACGAGTAAATAATGTTGATTAACATGGAAACCTGCAGGAGAATAATTAGTACGTAATAATATATTGCTGCATATTACGTATGTATATCTAAAGACCATCGCCGCCGTCTAGCTACAGCACAGTCTACAACGGGAAAAGAATTTCATCGACTCATTATTTATTTAAACAATAATAATACATAAAAGTATAGGTATCGGTATGGTTCTTGCGACTGCAGCAATACCTATAATTTATAAAAAAAAAAAAAAAATATACATTTGTATGCGTATAGGTATATGTATATAATTATTTATTATGTATAAATACTACATGAGCAAGTATAGAATTTTATAAGCTAAATAGTTAGTGTATATAATATAAAGTACGATTGCTGCGATATGTTTTAAAATAGTATTATATACTTAATATTATAAAAAATGTATAGGTTATAATAATAGACTATAATTTTAAATACTGCAGAAAATACGATTTATTACGTTAATTTTTTTTTTTTTTTTATTGACATTCTTTTTTTAGATTCGAAAGGAGGGAAGCGATTTTAAGTATAGAACTATATTACGGTGGCGTAAATAAGATTGCAAAAAAAAAAAAAAATAAGCAAACCTAAAATTGATATGTTTGTCCGTTGATTTCTTTAACTAAATTTAAAAATATACTAATAATTATTGAAAAAAGAAAATAAATTACACACCTACATGATAAAGTACCTAAATATAACTTAAACACAATATATATAATATATGAAACTGTTAAAATAAAAATTTAAAAATGGCAATTTAGGGTAGTATGGCTCCCATGCCTCCACCCTCCTGGCTACGTTACTGAACTATTAGTATTGCCTGTGCATTTTAATACTGAGTTATTTAGTTTTTAGATTCTAAGTGATACGAAGAAGCTATATATTATAGTTTTACTACAAAATATTATGGGTCTTAAACGGTATATAATAACTATAATGATAAACAAGATGATAAATTTTCCTCTCGGAAAAAACTTTCAACAAATGTCGATAAAATTATTACTTTTATTTTTATGGATCCTACCATGGCTACGAAGAAAAACATGACTCCAACCTTTGCAGTTTATCACATAGAATCATTTTTTGATTGTAATGATTTGTCGTTGCTCTCGGTACCTATATAAACTGTAATAGATACTACTTATCTTATAATACCTTCAAAACTTCCCACGTACAAGTATACATACAGTAGATCCTAGACACGGTGCGTAGTATGTCCGGTTTTATTTTACATAATAATTTCCTCCGTCAAATGTATCAGTGTAATGGTTGAAAAAAAATATAATCAGATTGGTTAAAACTGTTAAAAGAGATAATTTCCAATGTTTATATAAGTTTATATACGAGCAGGTGAGGAGGTATACATTAAATATAACAATTCGCCACATACTGCAAGTTTAGGTAATAGATCGAACGTGTTGATTTCTTTAGATTTATATAATAATGTATTATTGTGTATAGTGTTGATTGAATGAAGAGAATTGCGTTGGTTAAGTGTAATGAATACTGTATAATAGCCCCTTCGCATCATTGAGAATTATACTCTTCAATAGTTAATTTTCCTAATCTAACCTAACATTAATAATACATGCAGCAAGATACGAAACAAATAATATTTATATCGTGATTAAACGTTTAAACGTACCTATACATAATACGTATCCATGTATAATAGCCGATATAATTATATTTCTTATTTTAGAATATATTTCTTTTCGCATGAAGATATAGAATGATACCGAAATGATCCGTTTTTGAAATTACTATAAAATAGGGGTCTGCTTATTCCATATATTATTTTCTCTCCATCCGCGGCTGTATAATACGAGTATGCTCCACCGTTTGTACGTGATGTGTTTATAGAGACGAGTCGTCATATATATATTTATTTATCTGTAATACACACCAACCATCATGTATAATATATTATTCGTTTTAACCAATCAAGACGACGAGTTTTTTTAGCTTTATAAATCCAACGGAAACTTTATGTACGACATAATACATTACACATTATATGTACCTAAGCTATCTCCAAATAACACCTTCGGAAGCCAACAAGGTAAACATTTAATATTGCCGGTGTAATATTTTACAGGTACAAATATAAACAGTATTTAATTGAAACTGATTTTTGTGGAATTTTTTATCGCGTCTGTATGTATACCTGTTATATTATATATTTTTTCCAGCCACTCTTAGACACTTTTAGCTGTTCCTTCCATACAAAATCGAATTAAATTCTGGAAAAAAGTTTTTTTTTTTTTTTTTTTTTATAGGCGAATTAAAGTGACAAATGAATTGATTGAATTTCAATACAAATTTCACCGTGTTGGTAGGATGTTTTGTACTTTGTATACCCTAACAGATCCCCCGAATGAAGCTCTGCACGGGATGAAATCTCGTGTATGGTTTTAGTATCGAGAATGTGTCTTTTGGGGGTTTTAACTATCAACTCCCATTCTTACCATTTTTATGATAAAATTCTATCATTTCTTTATAAAGCAGTATAATTATAGTGTAGTAGGTATATATTTGTATTACATTATTATTATTATTATACTAAAGTATAGGTATCCGGTTATTTGTTGTTTTGCTAAGTTCTATAGTACAAAATGGGTAGAGCAAATTCGTGTCTTTTGATCGAGCTCTGCCGCTCGCGGGCGTTTTTCTTAGCGAGGGGTACAGCGTTTTTATCCCCGAAAACCCCCAACCTCCAACCACCCATCTTATTACATCCGATAATATTATAGGTATACCGCAGGCGCAGTATTTATCGTTGTAAGAAAAATGACATTATATTCCCGCAGCGATAACGATTTATTATTAATGTACTGTAACCACGTAATAATAATATACACTATTAACTTTCTCCGTGTGTGTCGTCGTTGAGTTTCGGGCAAAAGTGCGTTTACGGTTAAAAAAAAAAAAAAATGTCAATTGTTATAAAAACGCGACAAGACGACGCGGCGATGAGAACGCGCAATTCGCAATCGTTGACGGGCATGATGTCGTACAGACAGATCGGGGGAACGTCTGAGGGGTGGACCCGCGATGAGCGGCGATGTACGCGGTGGATCGCAGGCGGTGCGACGGGGTAGGTCAGAGGGACGCGGCGGAGGGACGTGCCGCGGGGCATTTACGTTAAACCGCCACTTGCGTACGCAACGATCAATTTGCGGCGTCCCGATAAAAACGTCGCGTATATAATATACGGCCGTGCGCGGGGCACGGGCAGCACACGCAGCGGCCGGCCGACGACCGAACGGACGGACTTCGGCCGGCGGCGCGCGGCGGGGCGGGTGGACGCGGCAGCAAATGGCGCCCGAGATCGATGACGGAGAGTCCCACGCGCGCCGCTCGTCAATTGGTCCATCGGCGCTCCACCCCTCCGCTCGCTCGCCCGCGGACGGCCGGCGAGGCGCGCGCGGCGGCGGCGGGACACTCCAGGCGTTTCGCGCGCGCTCCCCCCCCCTACTCCTCCCCGCCGCCGCCGCCGCCGCCGGGCCGGCGAGTGCCGGCGGTGGGCCGATGCCGCCCATATAATAACGCGCGCGCGAATTGGTTTCCGTGACCGGAGTGCACAAACGGTCGGTCGGCCGCCTTTTAATATACGCCGCGGCCGAAGACGCGACGGGTCGACGCGGTTAAGGAGAACATCGCCGTGCCGGTTAGCAGCGGTGCGGTGGGAGGGGCGGTGGTGTCGAACGGCAGTGGGTCGGGAACGCGGGGAATTTATGCGGACAATGCGCGTAAACGGTTTTCGGTATTCCGCACGTGTGCCCCCGAGTCGGGTTTTCCAATTTATTAAACGATAAGCGCGCGGACGGTCCACCCGCCGCCGCCGCGTATAAAATACCATGTACGTATACACACTTCCGGTCGCGACGAGCGAAAGCGGACGCGCCGCGTGAATTGCAATTTTCGTTTCTCCGTCGGTTTTTCCGTTCGACTGTGTACCGCGTTTAGAAGTAAAAAAAAAAAAAAAAAAACCATACCTAATACTATTTTACGATATCACCACGCGGCGCACGTCGCGCCGCGTGCGCTGGCTGGCTGTTTGTTGCGATTATCATTCGGGCTTGTGCTCTCGCGTGTATATTATAGTATTATACGAGGTATATATATATACACGAATAAGGCGTACACACACACACACACACACATATATATACATTCGCCAAATACCTATAATACATAATACATAATATATATGTGTACCTAATACGGTTTGTAAAACGTTCGCATCACTGCAGCAGCGAGAAACGCAATCGTACTAAGTGACCGCGCACGGCTATACATGTATACATGCATACGATCCCGGGGAGGCGATGCGTGTGCGCTGCGTAGAAAAATGTGAAATTTGAATGCGGTATATGATATCCGGGAAGAAACTGTTTCCCACACCGCTCCCGCCATTTACGAATAGAGAAAATGAATAGAGAAATGGGGATAGTGTTGCGGAACAAACGCGCCGGAAGCGGACCGCTGCGGCATAAATAAACGCGCGCATCATACACGTGTAAATAAAATATCCGTAACACGTGTACGAAATTATAGTGGCTCCCGAAGAAAATTAAGTAACGCGCCGTATATGTTATAATATTATACACAATATGTGTTATTTATAAAAAGCTCATCCAAATTTAATATACACGGTATCTAAAATAATCTAATACGTATAATAAATAAAATGCATGCGTTTGTACTGCGTAGTATAGCGTGTACGCCGTGTGTATACACCACCGTAATGTATAAATGTAAAAAAAAGCGAAACTCCATTTCATTCGCCCACTGACTAAACACGAAATCCCGAAAACTACTTGACCCATATGAATGCGAAATTCGGCGGGTCGAAGACGTCGCAGCTAAGAACGGATTGTGTGACGGGGCCGAATTAAGGGGGTCGTCGACAAACGGAGATTTTCGTGAGGTTAGGTTAAGTATTGGGTCGAAAACAACCGTGGAAATTATTTGAGACCCGATAAATATGATTTTCTTTACACTTCCTCTTTAGCCGTAATTTCGTGTTTCACAGAGAAACAAACAGTTAAAATATTTCAACCGTTATTGCGGGTAATTTGTAATTGAAAAGGCTTTCATATTGAGTTACATTCAAAATGAGTTGCACTCACAGTTTCATTTCGTCGAGCCACGTCGGGCAATTTTCAGCTAGTAAAATACCTAGGATATACATTACGATGTTTATTATAGTGTAAACTATAAATTAGTTATATATAAGGTATCTACACACAGAATCTGTGTCTTAGACATTTTACGATTGCGAACAATGAAATTCAATAGTAACAAATTACGTAGCACAATATTGTAATTTTTTTTTAAAAAAAATCATCACATCTGTCGTATTGAATCTATAGATCGGAGAAAATAGAAATGCATAGATCGTAACTATGGATATATTATATACACGTATGTATAACTGTGACGTGCCAATGAATTTTCAATGAGAGGCAATGTATACTAAATAATATGCACGATTCACATTAATAAATTTTAGTCTTCTTTAGCGTTATGCCTAACACGGCTATACGAATTTAAAAGCCGGATCCAAAACAGCCAGTATTTTATTCATTAAATCAAGGTTTTCCTTCCCCCTCCGCGTAACTCGACTGAAATACAAAATTACTGAATTAACAAATAAATACTTGCAGTTATTTTGTATTGTGTCGATTGGGTAAGTGGTATAGCCCCCTCCTGCACGCGTCATCGATAATTAGAAATTAGGTGACACGTCAGTAAACACCGATTATCGGGCTCAATAGAAACATTCGTTTATCGGCTTATTGCAGGACTTAAACCGGCTTTAAACTGTATACCTATATAATATATATGTATGTACTATAACAACGGTTAATATAGAATTCATTTTTTCAGACCGGTACTGTATACCGTTAAAACATGCGAATTTTCCGTTTATTTTTATTTGACAATTTATTCGAAATGCCTAATATTTTTTTCCGAAAAATTGATTTTACGTCATTTTTTTTTTTCAAACAAATTTTTGGGAACTAAAATGTTTATATTTGTTCATTATCACCTTAAAAACGACGAACATACTTCGCACGATGGATGGCCCACTGTTGCGAAGTGAGAAACTGGGAAGGTAGGATATACAGGAGAATTTAATGCATATCTGTAGGTACGCAACGATAAAACATCGCTCACAAAAACGACTCTGAGCGGAGTTCGGTTGTACATGTTTTAAAAGGCCGTAATATTTACGATTTTCTTTACATTTTGATATTAAAATTTGTGTTAAAAAATTAATTTTTAGTTAATTTTTTTTTCATAAAGTATAACTTATAATGAATCTCTTGTCAAAAGTTTCTGTTTGGCTAAACAATTTTCTCCACAGAATACCTATCAAATAAAAATTACGTAATAATTTTCGAATTAAAACTATTTATAGACATAAATAGCTCAAATATTTTTAAAATTGTATAGCTTCTAGAAAATGCAAATATAAGTGTTCTGTCCAAATTCCAAGTCTCTACAAATATTTTTTAACTGAACCACAATGAAAAAACAAAATTGAACGTAATACATTTCGTACATTTTCCTATTTATCCTATTTTTCCTATTTTCTTTTTTCCTATTTATCATGTAATCCCATTGGAAAATCAAAAAATAACTTCTCTAAAGTACCACCCAGATAAAATTTACTTTCAGAAAAGCTTCTAAACTTAAGAATTAGAGTAAGTTTTCTGGTAGAAAAGTCTTTCACAGGAACAAAAAAAAAATGATCAAAAATGTTTTATCATATATATATATATATATATTATAAATTCACCTATAATTACCAATAAATCTTGACATTGTCGATGTATTTTTGTTTTTGATTCGATTTATGCGAATAGTTCATCCGAAATAAATATTTGTCCGCCAAGGAAGAAAACCTCCACAATTTTACGCTGCGATAATCTATAAGATTCCATCATAAATTATTGTTCTCAAGGCTCAACACAAAATTTGTCACAATAATAAATTTATGTATAACCGTACAAAGTTCATAAAAAAAAAAACTCCCCCCAACATTATTAATGGAACCGAAAAATACGTAGATAGGCACGCGTGAAAAACTGCCAGACGACGTAACGTTGCGAAATTACGTCAGGTACACGGTATGACCAATAACAGAATTGTGGCGTTTAGGTGGAAATTACCCGCGTTGCAGGTAGGTACAACAGGCGGCGCGTGTTAGTTTCGCTTTCAAATATCCGTATGTGCAGCATAACGTATTGTTTGGTTCGTCCGGCATTTCATATAAGGGAAAAGCTAAATGGGTACGCAATCGATGGGCGCGATGTGCCCCGGAAAAACCGCGTCTTCCTCATTAAATCGCGTTGTCCGCATCTGCAGTAGCGTGTACATAATACTATGAACGCTTAAGGGGGGGGGGAAACCTCGAGGGAATAAAATCGACGTGGAAAAAAAAAATTCGGGCGGTGATATTTCGTTACTCGCGCGTATATTTATATATATTTATGTATGTGTGTGTGTGTGTGTGCGCGCGCGTCTAAACACGTATAATACGTATGATAATGTCATTTCGCGTGTCGGGATAAATAAAAACGCGGGGGCCGAGAAAAAACGCGTCCGGTAAAACGTACGGGCAATAAAGTCGAATTACCGGCGGGGCACCCGGCGGCGGCGGTTCCCGTTCGTTCGCCCGGAGAGTGATTGATGTCGCCGTTGGCGGAGACGTTTAAATAATTTATTAATCGGCGCCCCCTCCCTCGTGCGCGCGCGGCGGAGTACCGTCGAAGACGCTGCCGCCGCCGCCGCCGCCGCCGAAATCCGGGTCGTCCGTGTCTCGCGCTCCCCCCTCGCTGCCGCGACGTCCTGTCGGCGGAATAAATCTCCATTTAAGAGTAACGAACGACCGCCGCCGTCACGATTGCCGCGGGGCGGGCGGACGAGACGCTCGTTGCGTCCAATTATGCGCAATTATTCGCCACCGTGTATATGCATTCATATATTTATATGTATACACACACACACACACACACACACAAACACATTTTATACATACCCTATATATTAAACACGGGCGCGTGTACAACGCTGGACGCGCATTATAGGCCCGATCGCGCACGATTTACTGTTTCGGCAACACGATTGCGGCACGAAATCGGCCGTACAACAAATATAAAACTCGTAAAACGTCACGATTGCAGTGTATACACGGAACGTCGCGGCCTAACGTCTAATTGTATACAATTTTCAAAAGTGCACGGTAAGATTTATAAATATCACTTAACGAACGCGATTTATAATTGACGAATTTAAAATAACATTTTGTGCGTAATAATAATTTGTGCATCAAAATCGAAAAGACACGGACATAATTCGATGTCGGTGGGCGGGTCACCATTGCTACTGAAAAACGATTCGGAGCGAAGTTTCTTTTTTTTTTCCACGTGTACGTACATTCTCCCTAATTATTACGAAAACCGCTTGAAAATCAAAAAAAAAAAAAAAAAAAATTACTTTCCTAAAGTACCAACCAGACAAAATTACCATTCAGAAAAGTCGCTACACTTGAAAATCGGAGCAAGTTCTCTTGTATAAATGTTGTTCACAGGTAAAAAAAAAAATAGGTTCCTCGCCACGCTCCGTATCTAAAATTTAGTGTACAATTTAATTTAAGTATAATAATATAGCCGAGTTTATTTGCTATACAAATATTAATAATATGTATATAAATATAGACCGAAATATCACAAACAATTTAAATAAATGTTTTCCTCAGTAAATATAGAGCCAATTTAAGATAAATACATAATAACATTTTTGTCAACTTTATACCTATTATAAATCTTAATAGCAGATAAAATCTGCTACAGTGAACTTTTATTACACGGTAATCATTTTATATCGTTTTCAGTTTCCTCTAAATTATGTAGTGTATTATGTGATTTAGTCGCTGAACAACGTACGCAATCCTATTCCACCCAGTGTTGGGAAAGTTCCCTTTAAAAAGCAATTCGTTCCTGTTTCTTGTTCTTTTTTTTTATTAATACCTGATGCAAAATAATTTTTTATAATCTTAATTTGAAAACATCACTAAATAATTTGCTTTGGACATATATTTTTATGTATTACACAATATAGATTTGATATAACAGGGTTTCTTGAGTTATTTATTAGTCACGTTTTCATAAAAAAAAAAAAAATAAATGTAATGAGAGTTAATCAAGTCAACTAAAATTGAAAACTATTCTTACTTCTTTGAATTGACATTATCATTATTACCAAGACAGTTTACATCGCGGTTATACGAGTATACAACCGTGGTTTAAATTAATATTATCATATTATGTACCTTATTGTATGTTAATAAAAATGGAAAAATTGGGATTGCGTTATTGCAATAATTTCAGGCATTATGGTAATTAATTAGAAACTGACGAAGTAATACCAATACTAAGTGATTTCTACAATATTATCACTAAAATGACATGCGTTTCATTTCCTCCCCCCTCCGTGCTATTAAAATACCGCCTGTGCGCAACGGGAATTTGCGTTCACGTTCCTCATAAATAGGAACTCTTTCCCATTCCCCGTTCCTTTCCAACACTGATTTTACCCGTGTAATGTCCCATGCTTGTTTCCCGACGATCAACGCACCCGGAGTAGGATTTATGTATGTGCGTAGGTTTATTCGACCACTCGGTGCTGCGTCACGTTAAAGTCTTATAGAAAGAAAAAGATTAGAAGTCCACGATCGTCCCAGATTCCGTTAAATCAATGTACGTTAAATCGGTGGACAGTTGGAAATAAATAATCGTCTATATATTGGATATGGTTTTTATTTACGTTATTCTTTATTTTTCACAAATTGTTATTATGTTAATCAATTTTAATTTTTGTATTGAGGAATCTGAGCACCATCATTTTTTTTTTATCTCAAAACATTGTGTACAGGGCTAACTATTCTGCGTAGAGACGTTCGGTTTCGATGATTCTTTTTTTTGTCTTCGGAAAGAAGATAATTTCGTACAAGATGCACTGAACTTTTATATTGCATTACACGAGTATAACCAAAAACTACGGGAAAAATTAATTTTAATAAATTGATAAAAATTGCTCTAATTACACTGTTTAGAAATACAGTTTTAAAAATTCATTCCAATAGTAAGAATAGTTTTCAACTTTCAAAAAAAAAAAAATCGAATTTAAAACCGAATATTTGCACGCAGGGGTATGAAGATGTTCATACAGTTGTGGATGACCGGATCCGTGTGTACACTTATCCAAACAGAAGTAGAGCTTTTGGTATTTTTAGAATGACGTCTGTTGAGGGATGAAACATCAAGGATGAAAAACCAGTGATTAGTGGATCAATTAGTTTTCGCGGAAAGTACCCTTTTAAAATACATACTGTTCAGCGATAACTGTTAGCTAAGTAGGATATTAAGGAAGGTTTGATTAAAATCTTTTTTGACAGAATTAAATTCAACATTGTGTTAATTTGCGATTACAGTTGTTCGTGTTTTCAACCATTTTTGTCATTAATAATTAATTTAAAATGCTGATAGAAATAAATTGGAAAATTGCTATTCACATAAAACCCGACAAAACTTAAAAATTGTTAAAGGCCTTAAATTACTCAAAAAAAAAAAAAAAACAAAATATGTTTAAAATTGTACCACATCTAGAAAGTGTCAATATACATATATTATATTCTCCGACGATTTCAAGTCTACGATTATAAAAAAAAAAAAAAAAAAAAAAAAATATATATATATATATGTACGTATGCGTTATACATACGGTACACCGAAAACGATAGATCCGAAAAATAATAAAAACGGCAATTCGATTAACAACGAGGGGGCTTATTGTTACTCGTGCTGCACGTGTTACAAATTACAATAATAATAATAATAATTGGTTATACACGAAGTCGTTATTACAGTGTATGAAGGGCCGTCCGAATTATATGTTACGGTTTTGACAGGGCGTAGGGAGGTGCGTGTACCCGTATCGTTTTACTCGTTGCACACTCAGGCCCGCAACAGCAGAACTCGGAGTACGCGGTGTGGACATTATTATAATGTTTTGATAGAGACATATTTATTATAATCTGTACAAACGTTTCGCAGTCTCTCGTTTATGCATTTTTGTTCATCGATGTGAAAACATTACCACGGCGACGGAACTGCGGTCATTATACGGTAAACAATTTGAAAGTCTATTTTTAGAATTCACAAGTACATCCGTTTTTCGTAAAACGTGTGCATACATATAAATATGCGACAGCCTGTGAAAATATTTATGTATATTTTTCATGGCCGTTTTTTCGGATTTTCAAGTGTAGCAAAGAAGCAAAATTAATAATTTAACTAACACATGGTTTTGTCTTGCGGTAAACACTTTTTTGGTTGTTCGGAAAATTGTGCACGATTGCAAATCGTAGCATTTTAATACCCAAAAATGTGTACTTTTAACAATATGCAAACAATTTTGTACACCGTTTATTATTATTTTTTTTTTTTTGCACTGAACCAGTTTTTTAATCAATAATAATATTATATTTCTATAGGTGTTCACTTTAAAACAATATATTGTGCGTTTGGCATCTTTTAACAGTCAGCTGCTATCGCGGACGAAATATTATTCAGTTATAAAATTATAATATTATTATTATATTTTATATATTTATATATAAACCAACAATAATCCAAATAATATATTTTACTACACGCTGAAAATTACTGAATAAATACACTGTTGCAGTAAGTAAAGAAAAGAAAAGAAAAAAAATTACAGAATCACATAAAGAGATTACAAATGAAACAACATTACATTTTTAATATCCATCGTACTGTATTTTATACCGTAAAAAAAGAATATTAAAATCATATAGTTGCAGGTATATATATATATATATAAGAAAAAAACCAAATATACTCGCGTTAAAAAACGTATAATATTATAANATATAATTCGAACAAAGTACGACCTCTTACATAATTATATTTTAATAAGTAAACGCGTATTTTTCTATATCTGCAGCGGTGTCCTGCAATGTTTTAACGTCTCATTGGGTAGAAAACGAAATAAAAAGTAAATAATGTATACAAATTAATGCACTTTTTTTTAAACCCCGTGTTATTATTGTATAGTCACTATAGTATATAATGTGTACTTAACCTACAAAAATTTACACTTTTCACAGAATCGTATAATTTTCTTCGCGTTCTCTCTCCCATATTTATATTTTAATTCTAGAGAAATATATTCAAATTATAAAAGACGCGATGTAGCAGAAGTAACTTAATAGTATATGCAACAAAAATGCATATTATTTTATATGTATATTAATCATTCGTCTGTTATTTCATATTTGTGCGTGTGTAAGTTTTAATAAATTAATAAAAGAAAAACAATACACATTTATCGTAATACTCCAGGCGACGCATTCATTTATTTATTTATTTATATGTGTGTAGTTTTTATTTTTATTTCTATAAACGCAACGAGAAAAGCTTATAGCGGCTTGAACATAATGTTATATATCCGAGCACACAGTGGTAGTCTAGCCACGAGAGTTAGGGAGAAAATATTTGTCTAGAATCCGAACACGAATATGGGAGAGAGAACGCGAACAAAAATTATACGAATCTGTGAAAAATATAACTTTTTGTAGGTTAAGTATACAATAAAACGGCTATACAGTAATAAACACGGGCCTTAAAAAGAGTACATCAATTTGTATACATTGTTCACTTTTTATTTCGTTTTCTACCCAATGAGACGTAAAAACATTGCAGGACACTGCTGCAGATATAGAAAAATACGCGTTTACTTATTAAAATATAATTATGTAAGAGGTCGTACTTTGTTCGAATTATATATTATAATATTACACGTATTTTAACGCGAGTATATTTGTTTTTTCTTATAGACGTGTACACCTGCAACTATATGGTTTTAATATTATTTTTTTGCGGTAGAAAATACAGTACGATGGATATTAAAAATGTAATGTAAAACATTCTTTTTTTTTCTTTTATTTTATTTACTTACAGCAACAGTGTATTTATTCAGTAATTTTCGGCGTGTAGTAAAATATATTATTTGAATTATTATTGGTTTATACATACATATATATATATATATAAAATGTAATAATAACTGAACAATATTTCGTCCGTGATAGTAGCTGGCTGCTAAAAAATGTCGAACGCACAATATATTGTTTTAAAGTGAACACCTATAGAAATATAATATTATTATTGATTAAAATACTGGTTCGGTGCAAAAAAAAAACGGTGTTCTAAATTGTTTGCACGCTGTTCAAAATACACACTCTGGGGGGATATTCGAAAACTCGCATTTAGAATTTTATCGAGTAAATTTACTCTTATCGGTCTAATCAATTGTATTCACAGGCCAAACCGAACATTTTCATTAGGAAGGACAAAAATATATCAAATTCGTCCACCATAAAAAAATAAAAAACAAACCAATTAGTAGCTTAAACATAATATTATACATCCGGACATAAAGTAGTGGTCCAACCACGAGAGTTAGGTTGATATTATACCTCCCTAGGCCGGCGTGCTGCTTGAGTCGATGACGGCTAAAAGAAAAATACACGTGTATATATGAATTTGTTTATGACATTGTCTATAGGTTATCATTTAGGAAGTTGATTTACAATTTCAAGTTTTGATATCCTCCGTAATTGATAAGTTATTATTTTTAAAAATTTCATGAAATAACCACATTAAATTTATAACGATTTTGGGTTCGCAAAATTTTAAATAGAAAAATCGATTTTTATACTTGAAAAATTTAAAGGTTAGGTTAGGGGAGTTGGACGGATATTGGGAATAGTATGCATCCAACTTGTCACCGTTTATTGGTCTAAATCGTCATATACGCCCGTAAAAATGAGTAAGTATCCGACAGCAGATTAGTGGAAAAGACTTATCATTAAGGTGGTCATTAAACAGTAAAAACAATTTTTAAAATTTTACGAAATTGAAAACAATTTGGAAAATCGCTTTCCATCTACTGATTGATAGTATTATATATTGACACGAGCAAATACTTTTTGGAGATGTTTATTTGAAATCAACATTATAGAATGTAGGATTCTTTTTATTTCTTTTTTATAATCTATACTTTGGTGAACTCGGTGATTTTGTCATTTACTCACGACGAATCGAAATATCTCTGCGGCATGAACGATAAAACCTTTCATTTTTTGAAGTTTATAAATATAAGCACATACTTTTTTTTCTTAGGCGAATTTAATAATTTATATATTACATTCATAATTTAATATGTATAGCGATTATCCGTAAAATATATAATACGCCATGAAATCATAATTATTATGATAAAAAGGAATCGTCAAAAGGTTTAGTGCGTAATATTATGCGACGATGTGTGACCCAGTGTCTCACGATTTTTTCCTAAAAATCTTTGTAAATATTAAAAATTTGTATTTATTTAATTTTTTCAATCGAATTTTGTGTCAAGACACATAATGTATAGAGAGACATTAAATTTCTATTATTTTGACCACTTTTAATCACTATGGAAAAAAAAAACTGTTCCTTTTTTTGAAATATTGTCGAAACAGGCACTTTGTAATGGAAGTTATTCTAGAAATGTCTAATGTCTAATTCATTACATACATATCCGATAAACAGTTTCTTATTGTGATAGCTTTTTCATTTTTAGAAAAGTGACGTAAATTAGGTACTTTTTTTATGATGCCGTAATTGCAATTCCCTATCGCGACAGGTGCGTATGCACGGGAGGGATTTGGGGATCTATTCAGCATTTTTAGAATAATATCTATGTAACAAAAAAGTAGTTGTTTTGATAATCTATTATTTTTAGTAATATTAAGGGTAGAAAATAAAAACCGTAAGTTCTCGCTACGTGTAAATACATATATACAATATATATTCTAAAAAAAAAATCCGATTGAAAAAAAAAACATGAATATTAATAGAGATACAAGGTAAACCACGGTTGAACACTCTGTATAATATAGTGTTGTGGTCATTATAATATTATTTTATATTGATCGGTTGGTTTTTTTTTTACCTACTGCAATCGTCGGCGCTACCGTAACTCAAATAACCGCCTCGTAATATTGACAAACTCGATTGTTGCATACATTACTCGCTTTAGGGAGAAATACTGAAAAATAATAAATAATAAACCCGTTTGGTGTTTTTTAATCAAAATCCAACACATTTCTAAATTTACCATTTGGAATTGATGAAGCAATATTTTATACGTGTGAAAATAAAATTAATAAAAAGTAAACTAACGGGAGGGTAGGGGGATGAGGAGTTAAATTTACTTTTTTTTTGTGTATACAAATATAATATGCTTTTCATTTATTTCTTTACAATTACCGAACCATCAATGCTGTATACACTGCTGTGTTTTTTTTTTTACCATACTAATTTTCATAGCTACCAATTGAATGATAATAATGCATACCCCTGAAAGAATACCGGCATAACTCAAAAAAAAAATACGATTTCCGAGTGATTACTAATGTCATTTAGTATAATACTTTGATTTTTTCATTAATTTAATATCAAAGAGGGTATGGATTTAAATGTATTTATGCCTGCTCAAAATAAATAACAGTTTCCAGCCGGCGAATTGATATTTCTGAGATGTGATTTTATCTGAACTAACAAATTTTGTTGCACAATATGTTTCCAACCAACATAAAGTCACATCTCGAAAATAATGACGGGAAAAATTATAGTACAGTATGAAACATTGCGAAACATCAAAAGTGGATATCCCGACGTTTTCATATTTTGATTTGTGACATTATTCTTTCGAGGGCGTGATACGTCGGTATTATACCGGTATTAGCTTAAACAGAATTTCGAAAACTCGGGCAATACGCGAAACATAATTTTTCCTTATAACCGCGCGGTAGTAGTCAAACGCGCAGAAATGTTCTTTGATTCTTGCGCAATTCGCGTCGACGAACAAATCGCAATCGCCGCGCACAACGGTAACATTGAGATCCACGAGTTTCTCCTGGGCAGTTTTTTTTTTTTTTTTATGAAAAATACTTAATCAAATCCACGCGGCCGAGCGCGGACCACTGTGAAACCATTTTTCATGTATTTTTAATTTTATCGCCACGCGTTCGGCGACGCGGTTCCGTTAAACGGGCTGGCGAATGTAACACGGTTAGTCGTATTAATCTCATGATTGCGTTTGGCCGGCGGCGGTCCGTCCGTGACAATAATTATTCATTTTTTCCGGACGAGAGTATGTTATGCGTTTCGGTTGTTTTTTTTTTTTTTTTAATAATGTCATCGGGAAGCGGACGTGACGGCCACCGGAGCAAAAAAAAAAAAGAAAAACGCCCACCTCGCACATAGGTTACGGTATCACCGCTGTTATTACAACGCGTATCGTTACGTACGCGCCGGGTACAGACCGACGCGCGCGATTATTGTTATTAATTACACTCGAGATTTCGGCCGCGGCGCGCGTATTTCGCACGGTCGTTACGCGCGCTCGCCGTTTCCCCCCCCCCCCCCCGTCGTCCGTAGACCGAAACATTAAATCAGGTAGCCGTCGCGCGTTATAAATTGAAAAAAAAAATCCGAAAAAAAAATCGCGCGTTATAAATTGAAAAAAAAAAAAAAAAAAAATCGCGCGGTGATGTTATCGCGTCGCACGAGCCGCGGTCCGCGGGGGATTTCGGGACGCGCGTCCCCTCGCGACGGGCCTGAAGGGGCGGGCGGCGGTAATTATTGTTATTATTTAACGCGTACGCGTACGCGCGCGCCACTGCCCACATACACGGACGACGTACGCGCGTATTGTTCGCGCGTGTATGCGACGACGACCGCGTCTCACTGTCAAGTGCTAACTGAATTCCGGAAAGTCCACGCCCCGCCGTCGCCGCGTACCCACTCAGCGCGCGTGTCGCGCCGCGAGCGCCGTACGCCCGCGTGACGCAACACACGTGCGAGTGATTATCGCGTCGGGAAAACTCGGACGTCCGGGAGCGGGGAAAACGACACGTGACGCGGATCCGGCGGGGCGCCGTACACCTATACGCGTGCGGTACGTAACGGCGCGGCGCATTATACACCAACACGACGCGCTCGTACGCCGAAACCCCTTTTCGCGTGACGCGTATTGTGCGTTGTATACCGCACACAAACACACGCACGCACACGCGCGCGCGGCGATCGTACCACCGGCGTTTGTAATTTATGCACAATTTGCACCGAGCGAGCGTATCGGCCGTAAAAACCGCGCGCGCGCGTAATACGATTATTATCATTAAAATATACGAGCGGCGTTGCGCGGTTGAAATTATAACACGACCGCGCGTCGTTACGTTATAATATGCTCGGAGCGTGTAACAATGACGCCGAGTACGCGCCGGTTCGGCAGGTGGCCCGCGCGGGCCGTTATTATTATCGGGATGCGCGCCCGGTGTTAGCGGAACCAGGCGCCGACCGGCGAAAAAACCGACGGGCGGGTGGCGGGCGCCCGGGCACGCGAACCCGTCCCGTTCCGAATGCCCGCCGAATTCGCGTGCCGAGGTCGATTTCTGTTGTTGTTGTTTGATTTTGTTTTTTTTTTTCTATTTATTTAACCGGCGCGCGATTGTTGCAATTTCGCCGGATTAAAAATCGCACAACGAGAACGTCAAGCGTGTAATGTGCTTCATCCGCGGGAAACGCATTTTCGATCATACCTACGTCTGGTAAACGCGCGTTTCTTCACGCACGGCACACCCGCAAAAGACGGCCGCAAAACGTTGTTCCCGCCAACACGGCAACCGGTTCATTGTTATCGGGATTCCCCGTAATTTTTCCAAACGGTCGTTGTTTTTAATCTCTGGGTTATTCTATTACGAAATGTCTGTTAAAATATAACTATTCGCATTTGCAATACGCATTATGTGTAAATGTTTTAACTTAATATCGTACCTTTATACCGCGCAATTCAGAAATATTGTATTATTTTAAATTTGTTCGAATTTCCGAATGCCGACTTAATACGTATACGCATTAGTAATAGCACACGTTTTCACACGTTCGCTTGTATTAATGAATTTAAAACGAACGTTCGGTGTACCTACACCTAAAAAATCAATACAACCTATTGTTTGGAAAACATTACGTACCTGAACACCGATCTGAAAAAATCCACGCGCGATATTATTAAATACAAATAATATTGTACACATGTGCCGTGGACAATTTCAAAATGAATAAATTTCGAAATTAATAAATACGTATACTGCGTTCACCGTTCGATACTATTACATAAATCGAGCATAAAATTATTATTGTGTTAACATTTTTAACCGTGGTTTTCGTATTTTCAGAGCCGGATTCTAGAGGATGCGTCCTCATTCATGTGCAACACCTGGTCTCCACGACATAATGTACGTTGTCTTTATAATACAATAATATTGTTTTAGCGTTTTATTATTAAGAATTTATGGTTTAGTCTAATATTAAACTATACGTTGACGGACATTTTTGTTTGCCGTTTTCGCGTATACTACATAGATAACGTGTCTATAGGTAAATGTTTTCAGAAGAGTGTAGCGGTAAAGAATAAAATACAAAGTACACGTTTTTTAAACAATGTCGAAATCCATTTTCCAGCGCGAACTAGACCGGATTTTATTATTTAATTACAGTTTAATAATACCTACAGGCATACACGTCAGAGGCCGTTAAGGTTCGGTTAAGTGAGAGGTTTATTCTTTCTGCAGTTGTCAAGAAAAATGAGTCTAATACATATAAATATACATTTAAGTAATCGTCTTAGCACTTGTTGAGAAAGTTTTTTTTTTCTTTTCGTTAAAAGCGGTCCTAAACGTCGCAGACAGTATTGTATTAAAGGGAACATTAATATAAGAACCGTTTTTTTTTTTTTTTTTTCATTCTCCTCTCATCGGTGCCGCCGAGCAACGTGGAGGGCGTGTCGCGTTTTTCTCTATGTTTTATTTTTTTTAATTCTTTCGTTCTTGCTATATATGTATATATAGCGAGCCAGCTACAAGGACGAAACAATTTAGCCAACACATTAAAAAAAAAAAAAACGTCCCTCGAGTGGGAACGAAACTCCCGAGAGTAAAAACGAGGGGGGACGAAGAAGAGACTATAAACTAAAAATCATCAGCGAAATGCAAGGCTTTTCGGTTTTCGTCGTCGCAAAGTGGCTTCGGGAACAGGAATTAAAAGGACTTTATTCGGTGGGTCGGGCGGTAAAGGGGGGAGGGGAGGGAGTAGAGAACACACAAGCGGCCTTAAAACCGTCCCGTTCGCGGCTCCGGTAAATAATAAATGAGCCCCCGGTCGTATCCGCGCCCTCTATTCTGCTATCCCCGTTAACTATCCCCGGATACGTGCAGCAAAGGCGGAATCCTGCCGATGCAGTAATACCGCCGCAAGAGAAAACGTTTCGGGAACCTTCTGTATATATGTATACATGCCTACCTACGTCGTCGTGCACACCGGAGATGAAGTCTAAACATCGCTATATATCCTATACGATTATACGGTTCGCATTCTCTAGTCCGATTACACAAGGTCGGATTCATAAATCTCCTCTTGGGATTTCTTTGCATTGAACTTGACTTAGGTACCATATTTATACAGTCCATATATGTATATATACATCCATAGGATTTTGTGCGATACATAGGCGCGGACGTTCAAGAAAAATTACTCGTTAACAATATTTTATACGATACACGATTCGTCGATTCACACCGATCGCGATATATATCACGCTTTTTATTAATTTTAATTTTAAACAATTTCTAAATGCAAAATGTTCAGTCTGTAACGCGTCTAATGTCAATATAGTAATCGGTAGAGATAAATTACATATTCACAATACATTACTGAAATTCGTCCAATCCTTCAAGCGAATATCAATTATATTTGCAACTTATTTTTCTTTTTCTCCGGTTTTTAAAGGCCGTCGAGGCTCATATACCACAGCATGCACCTGCTTCCGTCTATCCCTATCCCGAGCTGATGATTAGCCGTGTTGTATTCCAATTTCTATTAGATTCTTCTTGGCTTTGTCCATTCCCATATTTGTAGCTTATCCAATAGTCTTCGGCCATTCGATTTCTATTTTAAAACATGTTTTATTATGCCATCAGTAGGAGAATTCTGTGGCTTGATAAGATAGACAACTTCTGATACGTTAAGCTTTAGATTAATAATATTTAATTTTATATTACATTAGTACATATATATTTGTACATTTTAGTTTATGGCCTAAAGTTGTCGTTGTCTTTTATACAGACAGTTCGGACATATTATTATTATTGTTATTTGTGCACGGGTTTACAAATCAAGATAACGTATAGATGTAGTTGTTTACTTTTGTTTATAAAACTCTTTATTTTACTTATAGAATACAAGTGTTTCATAAAAAAAAAAAAAAAAAAACGAAGGAGTATAGTATATATATATATATATATAGGTGAAAAAAAAACGATGCAGTACATCATAAATATTTCATGAAGTCCCCGTCGCCACGCGCTTTACCCCCTGCATTATGTACGTAACATTACTATATAGTAATATACTGTTTCGCCGCACATCGTGTCCGATCGATTATTGGTGATGATGCGTTGTATAGTACGTAATAAACAGTGCATATTCTAAAAAAAAAAAACTTATTGCATTTAAACTAAACCCGTTTTTATACATATTATGTGTGCGAATTCATAAACAACATTAGGTGGGTATAGTACCTACGTATATCTTTGACTAGGTTTTTGAATTAGACGAAAAATGCATTTCTGCCGTTTCGACACGTCAAAATTACTTTTTATAAGAGGACTGCAGTCGTAGAACAAAACGAATTTGATGGATTTTAATTTAGTTAACACACTTGGATTGATTAACAATGGTTTACTACATAGGTTTTGACGCAGAGGATTTTAAATATGCCGAAAATGGTATGCGTTATGATGAAAAAAAAAATAAATTGAAATTGCATCCGTTATAGCCTTCTAAACTCGTTAATCGAACACAATCCGTTTTCATCTAGATTCGTTCGCCCTAAAACGCAGTCATATTATTCGTCCGTAAAATCGGCCGTACCTCTTCCCCTTAAACGGGTATCGTTGGGTATAGATCAGTGCACAAGTCTTGGCATTTAGGTGGTCATTAAAATGTAAAAGAAATGTCCAACATGTCGAAAACCATTACCGATTCCTTTAATTTTAAATCGTTGACACGTATTTCGTATATATTATAATAGTACGATTTACGTAGAACATTACACGATACACAGCGTTTTCCCTCCGGCGAGAATTGCTGTAGGTATGACGATGTGAACAATAGGGCGAATATTAATGTACTCTTGACGTCCTAACAACTAGGGGTTAACGCGAAATATTTATCGTCTCGGTCACACATAGTGGTCTGAGGGACAACCCTTATATAATTGTTATACAAACGGTATTCCGACTTTGGACTCGGAGTAGCGTATATCCTTTAGTGTAGGCGCCAAATAATAATACAATAATAATAACAGTTGTAGATAGTAATACGAGTAGTAATATAATGCATCTCACTGTCTCGAATACGTAGCTAATATAATATTTTATAAAAAAAAGTGGGCCGGCAATCAATTGAGTTATCATTGGGGGAGGGGGGGGGAGCTTGTCTGTTCATTGTTTTTGTGTCATCGATTTTAGTTGAACTCATAAATAATACGTGAAAACGAACTGCAATTTCGTTTATGTCATATTATATCAATTTTCTTTTGTTTTATAATGTTTTCTTTGGTTTTAGGAATTTTATTAGTTTTCACTGTTTTTACTTTATTTTTTTTTTTTACCATACAGTGGTCGTGAAATTAAAAAATGATAAAAAATGTAGTTTTTGTAATTAGGTACAATGTAGAGAGGATATTTTAATTTTGTCCAGTCAAGTTTTCTTTTTTTTTACAAACCATTTTAAACCTTCTAAATAAAATGCTGTTAAGATGAAAAAAAATAACCAAGTGGGTCTTTTTATCATTTACTGTAATCTTAAATAGGTACGATGAATAACACAAATTTTACGGTTGAGTGACTATACGTGTTTTGCTTTCGCAGGAACATGCGTATACGCGAAAATTGCACCGAATACGCAAACAAGAGAATTAACCAGCATTCCTCTGTAGAAAAAACGTGTATTTTCGTAAATCAATTGAATAATTTGTTCCAGTAAATATTAGATTAATAAATCCATGTGGCCCATAAAACCGATAAAGTATGACTAAAAATAGACACACTGAGCTAAAAAAAAAAAAAAATAATAAAATAAAACATACATTTTAATTTACTCGAATATATAATTGAATAGATATTATTACTTAACTATAACCATATAAACGGTGTTCATAAAATTTAAAAATAAATACGAAGAATAAACTTGGTCCTGAGTTCCTATAATATGATTGATCTTGTTTTGTTTACGATTGTGTTTGGTCAAAGAAAAAAAAAAATAATCATCCGGCTTTAGATTCTGAACGTGTTATTATTACGAAATAGGTCATTTACGGACGTTACCTAGTTACCTAACATATAATATACGAGAATAACACGCCCAAGTTATAACAATATGATGATAGGTATGTGGTATGCGAAAACCATAGAGTATACATCGGTCGATAAGACGTCCTAATAAGCACAAAGGGGCGCCAAGGGATAGTTTCTATTGTATCGGAACTCTTGTTGTATAACTTCTCGTGTGAAATCCTCTATTCAATATTGTGTACATTAAGCCGTTCCAAAAGTCCACGGGGTGTGCCACCAAATAATATTCTATATATACTCATACGCATAGGGTAATGGTACAGTAGAAGTACACGGTAAAAGCTACAGACAATTATCGAGAAAACAATAATATTATTACGACGAAAAATATAAACAAACAATTATAATATCAGGGAATCTTTCACGTGAATATCCACTCCCCACTCCAAAACGTCCCATGAGCAGGTAGAAAAACTTTTCCCGGTTATTCATCTCTCGATCAACGAGCGTATTTTCTACATAAAATATACAATTTGTTAAAAAAATCTACTTAATTCGATCTTACACCATTAATTTTCTAATAGACTCTTATTGTTCATTTTCGAAACCTCCCTAACTATTTCACTGCTATATGGACGCATGTATGCATTAAATGACTATAATATGAATAACATATTTTTTTAATATTAGATCTGTGCTTTATTCTCCCGAAGTTGACAATAAATATTGGCTTAAAGATTGACAGTCAACGGTAGAAAATGCTGGGAGGGAGGGGGGGCGGGGTCGACAGAAACAAGATTTACTGGAAAGCAAGAAAAAATATCAGTGTACCCAAATACCCAATCCTTTTAATTCACTCCAGCTTACAATAATTATTATTTGTAAACATTGTGTTTTATACAGACGTGTTGACCAGTTTGCATTAAATATAGGTACTTGTTCATGTTTTTGTCATACATCGTCCGAGAGCTATTTATTTATTCGTTCTTGAACAAGATTACTTTTCCAGTGGCCGTTTTAAGTCTGATATTATTATTAGTCGGCCAAGACCCTGTTTTTTTATCGATCTGAAGTGTGAGAAATCGACAGTTGAACGGGATTTTGTGCTAAATGAGATTGGAGATTTTCAACCATTTCGTTTACAAACCGTTTTAAACCTTCTAAATTAAATGCTGTTAAGGTGATTAAAAACAACCAAATGGGTTTTTAATTTTAAATAGGTACGATGAATAACAGACATTTTACGGTTGAGTGACTATGTGTGTTTTGCTTTTGCAGGAACATGCGCGTACGCGAAAATTGCACCGAATACGCAAACAAAAGAATTGCACAGCAAACATATTTCCACTCCTCTATAGAAAAAACTTAAATTTTCGTAAATCGATTGACTTATTTGATTCAGTAAAGCCCACAGGCTCACGGTCACTCCAGATGTCCACAATCTCGACTGAAAATAAAGTATTATGAAGTCTTTATAATTTAGTACGCGAAGGCCTATACAAGTGTTGAAATGTGTAAATATCTTGTATACCTAAATAATACTTAAATAGTGTTTTACAATATTTATCAAGAAAAGTTAAATTATTTCGAGGAAATACAATGTACATCAATAGCAGATATCATTAAATGATTAATGGGATAAACGCTGATCCGCCTAAAATTATTGTCAACGGCTTACTTTTCTCGGACATATTTGGGGCATTAAAATCCACGGTACCGGACCGTATCCGATCGAATAAAAAATCATATACACAGAGAGCAAAAGTAACAGCCATTTTATGTCGCGGTCATTAATTTCCGTATCGTACATGATGTTTATTAAAGACAAACTGACGGCCATGCCGACACCGGAGATGATTAATAAATCTCTGTTTCCCAAAAAACCGATAAAGTATGAACTTAAAATAGACACACTGAGCTAAAAAACAAAAATAAAACATACAATTTAATTTACTCAAATATATAATTAAGTAGATCTTATTAGTTAACAATAACTACTCGTATATAAACGATATTCATAAAAATTAAAAATAAATACGATGAATAATCTTGCCCGGAGTACTTATAATGTTATTGATTTTGTTTTGTTTACGATCATTTTTGGTCATAAAAATAAATATTCGAAATAATTCATTTACGATGTTACCTTGTTACCTAACATATGATATACGAGAATAACACGCCCACGTTATATGATGATAGGTATTCGAAAACGATAAAGTATACATTGGTCGGTAAGACGTTCTAATTAACACAAAGAAGCGCCAAGGGATAGTTTCTATTGTATCGGAACTCGTGTGAAATCCTCTAGTCAGTGTTGGGTACATTAAGCCGTTCCCGAAAGGCCAACGGTGTGCCACCAAATAATATTATCTAGGTACTCGTAGTTATAGGATAATGGTATTTTAGCAGAAATACACGGTCAAAACTATTGAAAACATATCGTTGAAACAGTAATTATGACGTAAAATATAAACAAACAATAATAATATTAGGATATTTTTTAAGTGATCGTGCAGTCTCCACACCTTTAAAAAAGCCCCACGAACAGATAAACCAAAACTTTTTCCAGTTATTCATCTCTCCATCAGTAAGGGTATTTCCTACATAAATTATACTTTGTTAGAAAATCTACCTAATTCAATCGTATACTGTTTTTTTTTTTTCTAGTAGACTTACAGTTAGCGAAATCCTACTCCGCTGGGCGTCCAATAGACTTTTATTGTCCACACAAAACCTCCTTAACTCTTTCATTGTTATGAATGCATATATGCGTTAAATGATTATATGAATAATATGTATTGTTAGTATTTTAGATCGGTGTTATATTCTACCGAAGTCCGCAATAAATATTGGCTTATAAGATTAATAGTTAATTGTGGAAGAAGTCGGAGGGAATTGACTGGAGCAAAATTCCTGGAAATTTCTGGAAAGAAAGAAAAACAAATATTGTGTACCCAATCCCTTTAATTCATTCCCGTCTTACAATAATTATTATTTTATAAATATTATGTACCCCTCCTGCAACAACACTGTGGAGTTCATATTAAAATCGAGCAAATATTTTATCATTTTAATCTACCCAAAAAAATTACTCCAATTTCCAAGTCTGAGCGCTTTTAGTCTAGAAAGAGCCACTAAAAGTGCCCAATTATGCTAGGAATAAGATATACGTACAACAGACACAATACAGTGTAATAGTCTCTATGTTCGGGAAAAATTCGACAAAAAAAAAGCAATAGTAATATATAAGTACTTGGAGTAATATGATGGCGGCTACAGGCGATATTTCGTTTATGCCTAACATTGTGTACAAACATTGCAGTTGATTCGTCAATAAAACACTACCGCTAAACTGTTGAATAAAAACCAGACAAACGTTGATCAACAACGGCCGCCGGTAAACCATATCCTTGAAAACCAAGCCCAAGTCTATGTAATTTTTGGAGTTTTTGAAATTCTGCAAAACAATGTGATATCGACGTATATAGAATTCATTTTATATTTATATGAATTATTAAGAAATTACGCCGATTTTTCGTACCTTGTAAACGCGATTATGGCATACTGCAGTAGTTCTACGGTGCGTTTGAAAATCTTTAATCTCTCTTAACACAATTTCCTGTTTAAATGTCGGTGCTTCATACTTCAATCGATAATAAACAGGGTCTTGAACGAATAACAACAGTATCAGACTTAATACGGCCACTGGAATAGTGATCTTGTTCACGAACGAATAAATAAAAAACTCTCGGGCAATGTGTGACAAAAGCATGCCCGTTAACAAGGATATGTAATGCAAACTGGTCAGTACGTCTGTATAAAACACAATATTCACAAATGATAATTATTGTAATAATGGAACTGAATGCGCTGATATTGTTTTCGATTCTGAGAGGAGAGAGAAATGTATTGGTTTTATAATGGTGTTTTTCAGCATTTTCAAACAGGAATATTTATGAAATGTATTATTTTCAAATCGTAAAATTTATTACGGCCTTTCAAAACATGTATAACCGAACTCCATTCAGAATCATTTTCTGTTAGCAATAATTAATCTTTACGTTGACATATATATATTAAATATACTTTAAATGTCATACATTAATTTGATTTTTAAACTGAATTTGTAGTTGATAACCGGCTGCGATTAGTCGATTATCTTATCACCTTCGGTTAAACATCAACATTTACGGTTACAATTCTTTGTGTGAAAGAAATGTGTATATAGAAAGCAACCGATAAAACTAAATATTAATTTATATTTAAAATTTAGGAGAAAATTTAGAAAATGTATTTTTCTAATGCATTTTATATTAGTATACATATCTGCGAACAAAATGTTCAGACCTCTTATTTCCGGTTCAGCGATTTCGGCTGCGTAGTTCGGTACGACCACAAATATGAATCCGGCACCAATCCCGTGCATAGTACGTCCTATCCACAAATATGTCATAGTTTCTGAATAATCTGAATAAATTATCCCGTACGATCCCAATACGGTACTCATCATCCCGATGACCAGTGTGGTTTTTAAACCGAGGTTGGATGAGATAAACGCCGCGGGTCCGGCGCTCACGATCACTCCGACAAACAGCATGAATTTCAACAACTGCAATCCATACATGTTCTTGTTACTAGTATCGCAATCGTCCGTTTTGAAGGTGTCCAAACACAAAATCCACTCCAAACTCATTCCCACCGCCAAAGAACACAGAGCCACTGTTATAAGACATGATTGAAAACATCTACGTCAATAAAATATAATAAATGAAGGAGTCGGGTAGATAATGGATAATATTTTTAAAATTCATCAGAAAAATGATTTGAACGGAAAATACTATTGAAAATACGTTTGTGTTTGAACTGAACATTTACATTATGGGTGATAAGAAAAGCCCATAATAAGTGATAATTGGGCCTTGAGATACCTACCTAATAAGATTTCAATGTAAATTTCAAAATATATCGCCTGATATATTATTAAATGCAGTTAGTTAACACGTTTATTCCACCATCAAAAATTAAAAATTATGTAATGCAACAATATCTCTGTCCTTAAATGTGTGTGATTTTTATCTAAAATTTTTTGTACAAATTAAGTCATTTTATGAAGTAATAAACATTTAAAAAAAAAAATATCAGTTATCATCTTAACTGATCTTTATCGTCAAATTATATTATTATGTATATGTGTGGGTGTGTGTGTGTGTGTGTGACTTTTTAAACATTTTGTCAAAAAAACGCGATAAATTTGATAGTAAGATAGAAGGTATAAATTTAATAACATCAATTAAAATATATATTATAATCGTGACCAATTCTGTCAAATATTCAATATTTGATTATAGTAATTGTATAATAATTTTAAAAAAGGCGGACATACTACGCCACTGGTAGGCAACTGCGTTAAGTGAGAGTAGTGAGACATTTGAAAAGTATTGTGTATAAGTCAATTTAGTTTATGTAATATAAATACAATGTAATATAAAACAACGATAAAGTACGGCGTAACGATTTGGATCATTTTTACTAAACAAAAAAGTGTTTTCCGTAAGGTGGATACGTCTTAATAAAATTATAGTATAACACCTTCGTTATGTTTAAAATCAAACTATCCACAAATTCGTTACAATTCACCGGTAGCAAATTGATTTAGTGAACCGTTAAGACAAATGTAAAATTTATGATTCTATTATTTAATAGATACTTTGATATTTTAGGACTTAGAATCACGGAATACGCATACTTATAGTTTATAAAGTAATTCTTTGACCCACAATTGTATGTACTAATATTTTGGTTAGAACTTTTAATTTGAATCACCAATACTTTTTTCCTGTGTTTTTTTTTTTTTTTTTAATACTTTTATTTCAAAAACAACCTTATTTAACTAGAAATAAAAACCGAACAAGTTTTACTTACAAAACATAGACAAGAAATCAAATAATTCCAACGCGTTTTTAAAATTAAAATTTCACTGGGTGAATTTTACTTCGGCTTGTCGGTGTAAAACGGCCGTACGCCCTACCCCTAAAATGGGTGTCGGACAGAAAAACGGTGGAAAAGTCTAATCATTAAGGTGACCATTAAAAAGTAAAAAAAATAATTTTCAAATTTTACCAAATCGGAGAAAATTTGTAAAAAAAAAAAAAGCCTCCCCTCAAGAACTTATTGCAGTTTCGTATAATAGACGCAGCTTATTATTCCGCGAGATTACCGCGATATATTTCCTAGGTATCCGTGCAATTTAATATAAGTAGATTGAATCGTTAAAATTAATGTTGAGAGTGTATAGGACGTGTAATATTATAGTCGTACCTGTTACCTATATAGGAAGGTACCTATATGCAAACTATAGGTTGCATCGTTTTGTCATTAAGACGTTTTAATGAACCGTAAAATACTATTATTATTATTATTATTATTAGTATTAACCGACGACGAAGGCGTAAAACCAAGAGTAATAATAATAATAATATAACTTGATCGTAACAATATCGAGTCGGCCGGCGGCGTAATATAGCTCTGCGGGGAATTAGCTGGTCTCTGTTACGACAATATTATATTATTATGCAAAGTACTACAGCGTTGCACTCGTATAAAGATACATTTTAAAACATCCAAATAGAGGTACGGGATAATTGCCGAAATAATTATCTAGATGGGCATAAAATACACCGTGAAAAATTAATTATCTAGTTAGATAAATTAAAATACCTAGATAAATTAATCGGGAACTTTTTATGCGGACATCATTTTGTTCGTTACCAACCATTGGCTGTCATAAAACCGAATGCTAAAATAATGAATTGCGTACGTTTGCTACGCGATATTAATACAGACATAATGGATAGATATGCATTATAGTTTATAACATTTCGTAAAGCACGCGTGATTCACGTGACCCGATAAATTATCTTATTAACCCGCGTGTTCATATTAATTGACTGTATATATTTTACTTGGGTATTATTTCTAAAATATAAATATATTTGTTAAGACTTTGGTACCCGTCTGTAGATCAATTAATCCAGATTATTCGGTTACTCGATCTCGGATGATATTCAGGTAACGGCACATTCGGTTCAGATAACTTATTTCTAGTTTATTCTATAGATAACATCGAAGATGAAAAATAAAACGTACCCCCTGACAATGAAAATCACACCGCTGATCATGCGTTCTATATTGTTATGCAATATATAATTAGACCTTACCAAACGCCGTGTAGTATATCTGTCGTCTTTTGCCATCAACTAACGTGGGTTCGCAGCACAATGACGAATACCGCGACATTTTTCTGTTCTTATTAAATCGTTACACACCCCAGTTTATTTTTCGCAAACTTCATATTATTCAGCTGACGTTTGGTTTTCACGAATCGTTTTCGAATAATATGTTTGCGTGTATTATTATTAAACAAACAAGAAACAACCTAAATGGTTTTTTTTTCAGCCAACAAAATAACCGCACAATTATATCTCATTCAGTGAATAAAATAATAATAACAATATTGTGTTTCGCTTTCATTCGATGCGTAAATCAGAAATAAAATTAATATAATATACCGTTTCGGATATAGTACTATAATACAAATAAAAAAGTAAAAAAAACAAAATAAATATATTTTACGTACATAATATACTACCAATAAAAAATTACTTTTAGATTCGGAGCACGTAGCGAGGGGTTTCTATTGGTTTCACTATGATCGACATTTTTTTTTATTATTAGTATCTGTAAACAACTTTTCTACCAGAATTTATTTTTCTTGAGTATTGAGTATAGTACCTTTTCTGAAAGTAAATTTCGTCTAGTTGGTGTATTAAAAAGGTAATTTTTTGATTTTCCAAGGGGTTTTTAAAATAATTGGGAAAAATACATAAGAATATTGTAGACAAAACGGCGAATATTTATGGCGTTAAAGTTTTCATTGTTTCCGATTTTTATTTACGATGATTTATTTTGTTTTAATTATTTATTACGCGCGGTACGTTAATATCTAACACTATAAAATATATTGAAAGAAAATTTTAATTATTTATCTTTTTTCATGTTATCTTTTTGGCATGCGCCCACTTACGTTTTTCGATTCATTATTATAATTAAAATCTCTCTTCCTTATACGTAGCTACGTATACGTATAATATATATATATATATATATATATTATATTTTTACAGTATACATTTTTTTATTTTTTTTTGTTTTGTCAATGACCTTATAAAAGAACGAAAGAGTAATGGAATAGCTCATAAATAATTGACGACTCGTGTCTAAAGTCCGGCAGCACTTGTCGCACAACTTCTCCCCCTCCTCCTCATCCAAAAAAAAATAAATAACAACCCAGTAAATAAACCCCCTACTTGTTGACGTCTTTAGAGCAAACGTAACATATATACATACTTCTTATCTCGGGCGTCATAAGTCCACTGCAATGAATTTTCTCTCGGCGTGAAAGCCTTCCACCGCGAATAGTGTGAGAAAACGTAGCCGTTTAAGGATAAAGATAGCGATTCTTCATTAATATTCAAGTACGAAGAGCTGTTGACCGTGCCATCTTGGCGTTTCCCGAGTCAAAGAAGTACTATATAGGTATATTGAAGAGTGTAATATACAGTAGACGTTGTTTTAGTTATTATCTCGCGGTCCATTAAGAGCGAATAAATTCGCTCCTTACAATCTTCTAACGAAAAAAATATTATTATAATCATACGCGAAGCGTAAAAAAATTTAATTAGATTTTTCGGAAAAATACAAGAAATTCGGAAAAACGGGAAAATTTGAAATGAATCTTTCTAAAATTAAGGGAAGTATTTACAAGTTTTTTTGTTTTTTGTTTTTTTTTTTTTTTTATTAAAAACAGAAACTATATAATACGTCGTTAAGAGTCGTTAAAGGTTAGAAAATCCCGTGCCTTGAAATGAACGCCCCGTAAAATGCTGTCCACTCGTACGCGTATACTATCCTGAAATCGAATGCAATTCGAACCACTGGTCTAGTGGTCCGCGGTCACTAAATGACAGTTAGTTCATCGTGACAGCAACGATATCACTCCCCCTGCCCTCCCGTAATGACTGTTCTAAAAGGGGCGCCAGCGCGACATGCAAATTCTCCCGTATTTCCGGAAGACCGTCGCGTATACACCAATAATTTCTATAAAACCGTTTTCGTTTTTCCCGTTTTGCAGGGCGACTTGTTCGGCGGTCTCAACGACGGCCTGCTCAGCAGAGCCGAAGTGCTCGCCGCCGTGGACATGGGCAAACACCACCATCATCACAATCATCAATCGCCGGGACCGGGCAACGGCAACGGCGGCGGCCAAGGCAATGGATCGCTGGGTCCCGGATCCACCGGATCGCCCGGACCGCTCACTCAGCTCAAACACGACGTAATGTCATCGTACCACCACCACCACGGCATGACCGGTGGCCACTCTGGAGGCCAAACAAATCACCGGGGTCACCAGGTAGTTATACGCACGAGCCCATGTAAACCGTAACAATAATATCAGTGGTTGGTCAGTGGCGTACCGAACATTAGCGTTTTTTTAGATGATTTCTCCTCGGGGAAAATTTGAACGGGTGAGCAGTCGACAACCGTGTAGTCGTAAATCTGATCGTAAACATCGAATGGTTCGTGATCTGAATAACCGCGATAAAGCGCAACGTATCTCGTGTTAAATTTTTCAAACATTTTGCTCGATCTGAAAAAAATTTATCAGCATAAAATCAATTAAAAACCTCAAACATTTCAAGTAGCTGTAAATATCGCTCAACAGTTTCGAAAATATTTTCTAAAATTGTACTACGTTTAAAAAGGCCTTATGTATAAGTATTCTGCGAAAATTTCAGATGTATACGATTTTTGACCGAATACACACACATATAGTTGAAAATAAAATCTAAAAAAAAAAAAAAAAAAAAAAATGGAGAATAAAAGCTTTATAAATAAGTTTTAGAATATTTTAGAACTAAACAATGTTCGACACGCCACTGTTAAAACTATATAGGTTAATATAGGCATATAGGTATAAAAAGGTACGTCGAGGTTCACAACATTAAAAACGACGTTCAACTACGTCATAGTTAAATCGAATAATCGATCAAAATATGTGAATTTAATTTTTATTAAATGCTAGTTGAAGTGTAATAATAATAATTTGCTGTTTTATGGCCGTTTTGAAAATCCGTCTTTCGAGAAAAGTATAATTTATTATCGTATTATCGCAGCATTCTAAGATACGTATTCGTTTCTTTGCGCAAAATATACAATGTCTAATTTAATAATGCATTTTATTAAATTTTAAAATGAATGTAATTCATGCTGACTCGCATATTGAAATTAATAGTAAAAGCAAAAAAAAAAAAAATTTGACTAAATTACTCAGTTGTTTGTGCGAATAAGCAACTACATAAATGCTTAACAATACTATATAATCTATATAATCTTAAAAACAGATACCGTTCTAAATAGTCCGTTTTTAAAATTCCAGCAGCAAAATATTTAGTTTACATAAAACTTTTCTACCAGAAATCTTACTCCGATCAAAACATACTAAAAGACCTTTTTTGTAGCATTTTGGATCTAGTTGATACATTGTTTAATTTTCCAAGCGGTTTTCATAATAATTGGGAGAATCCGGACAAATATAATAATATAATAATAATACGGCGGCAAAGATTTCATTATTTCAATTTGAAATAGTTTGTTCGATATTTGTTTTCTAGAAAATCGTTTGTTTTGCTCCAAATAACTTCAACGGCAGTAACTTTTCTGACAGAAAATGATGTCTAGGAGGTCTCATTTTGATTTTCCGTGTTGTTCATGAATAATATTAGTGAAAAGCGTTGGAAAAACGAAAAAGTTTACGGCATTAACGGGTTTATTATTTTCGATTATTTTTTTTTTTTTTTTTTTTTTTGTCATTCAGTTATAAGTATTCATAGGGTTCTTTTTTCGAGTTTAACCAACCAGTTTAACCCCCAAAATCGTAGAAACCTAAATGACTAATCTAACCTGAACAGAATAATATGATACATAAAATGCTCTTACATTTAATAGAGGTTCATTTTAAATTTTACTTATAGTGGTAAAATCACTACTGGAGTTTTTCTGCAAAGAAAAACGATATGTTTGTTGTTTTTGAACTCGAAATACACATCTGCACTTGTACGCGTTCCGTTTTTTTTTTTTTTTTTTTAATTGTGTTTCGTCCCCAGACAATATATGCTCAATAAAATAAAAACATATTGCATATTCAACCGAGTCGTTAAATTTTTAACGCAATATTTAAAACTTCAACACGAAAACACTCGTCAAGTATACACGTACCCGTATGTATTATACACGAAGTCGTTCGACTGTAATTGTCGCGTGCGTTGTCCGAGGATCGGTATTACCGGTAAATATTACCATTCGAACAGTATTGATGATAAAAGTGATGCCTGAAATTCTGTGTTGAAGCGTACGCCGTATGTATTTTTCGGTACCTTTCTTATTGACAATAATTAAATTCGAGTTAAGTAATTAAATTGTAGTACTCGATAGTACTCGTTGGACCGAATCGAATCAATTGTACGTTACCGTATTGCAATTTGAACGTAAGGATGTGCGGAACACAAAAATAGAAATCGACACGCGGCCGTATTCGAAACGACAGATAATAATAATTGTCGTCCGATCCCGTTTAGAGACTGATGGCCGGGGCGTTGAGGCGGAGTCCAAGGGGTTTGATCGGCGACGACGGCCGTTAAGACAAACGCGCGCTGTCGTCGTCGTGTACGCGGAGATTTCTCTCATTAACAGTGGCGGCGGCGGCGTCGTCTGTTCCGTCTATTATAACGCGCGCGGCCGTTTCGTCCCGGTCGGCGTCCCGCCGCCGCGCCGGAAATACGTTCCTCCGCGTAGCCGCTCCGTCAAAGTTGTGTCGGTCCATTAACTTTCGGCCCTCCCGGAAAAGCGGGAAAAAGAAAAAAAGAAAAAAAACGCGCGCGCGGGCGAGCGTTCCGGTTCCCAGCGGAATATCCTCCGCGCCCGTATCGACATAGGTGTTGTTAACGCGAGCGCGCGCCCCGGGACTACCGCCGCCGTCCCTTTTCCGCGGACGGGACGCGGGGGACGGGGACCGAGTTAACGATGAAATATACGTCGCGCGGGGCCGCCGCGCCGGGCGATGCTGTGACTAACGGGTCGCCGCGTCCTTGTCGCCGCGGCGGCACGATCGCGGTGCGCGGCGGCAATTACCTCATTACCGAAACGGCGCGTGTGCGTGTGTGTGCGTGTGTGTGCGCGCGCGCGTGTTCGCGTGCGTGTGCGTGTTCGCCGCCGCCGTAACCAATCGAAAGGGGTAAACGGGCGACGGCGGTGACGAGGGCCGAGTGCGTGTGCACGCGAAGAGGAGCCGCGCACCTCCGTACGCGCGCACGTACACAATACGGTACGCGAGAGAGAACTCGCGCGAGCGCGTGTATAATAACAATCCGAATCAATTATTCATTCGATTGCGTTTGCCGTTTCATCCCTCGCGCGACCGCCCTCGACGACACTTCTCCCCCGCCGACGGCCGCCGCCCGGCGCACACTCTGCCGACTGCGACGGCGACGGCGACGGCGACGACGGCGACGACGACGACGACGACTACTACCACTGCTACGACGGCTCTAATCTACGTATATATGCGTGTGTACGTAGACGTACGTAATACGTATATTGCGTATACGCGAGCGACACACGAAACACCGCCCCCTCACCCCGACAACGCGCCTCGAGTGTCCCGCGCTCGCGTGTCGCGCACGGTAACGCGCCACACACAGCGGCGCGCGTGTACAACGTATACAATATGTATTTACGTACGTGCATAACGCGTGTGTGCGTGCGTACGCACATACGTACACCTACCGCGTATGTGAACGCGTGTGTACACGTATACGGTATGTCGCCCGTGACAATATTTTTCCCCGTCGAATTGTCGCGCGGGCGCCCGCGTGTTGCGAACGAACCCTTATCGCCGCCGCTGCCCCTACCCCCCCTCATCGCCCTCCTGCCACGTCCCCCCCCCCAAAGTGCCGCCTGCAATTCCCGCGACGCCACACTCGATGGCTTTTTCTTTCCCCGCCGCCGTCGGTTTCTTTTACACAAACGCACGCGAACGTATGAAATGCAAATTCCCGCGTACATACAATATGCACGCGCGTCTTTTACCGCGAATACACGCGTATTAAAATTCAGCCGCCGCGAGTGCGTCGGGCGCCCCCATTCCGTATTCTCCCCCTTATTTTCTGTTTATATATTCGGCAATCTCATCACGTATTTGTTTGTTTTCGTTTTTGTTCGCCCTGCCTGTGTAACGTGTTACAATACTCGGTATTCCGGAAGTGCCGGCGCCGCGTTGTTATTGTGTTCGTTATAAACGAGACGCTGTCGGGCGGTCTCGTCGGACGGATACCGCGACGAGAGTGGGGCGCGGCCGGGGGCCGTGGTCCTGGGGCACGGGACCGGAGCGACCCGCAGGTCCCGTAGTTCAGAGGATTCGGGCCAAGGGGAACCGATACACCGGACACACCCGTTCCTCTGGGCCTGTCAAAATGCATTCCGCCGCGTTTAGTTTAATTGCCCAATCAATTGGTTAACGGTTAACCGATTACGCGTTTATCGCCGCGGTTGAGCTGCAGCACCACGAAAACTTATCGCGTACCGACCGCGGTTCTCCGCCCGTCTAATTTTTCATCCCGGTCTCGCGCGTCCGTGCGGATCGTATCGAACGCGCGTCCACATTACCGCACACGAAATCCCATCAGAAATATTGCGTTTTAGTATCGCATTGTTCGGCACGCTCAGTGCTGTATCCGTTATTTAATATCGTAATCAGCGTTCGGGGAGACATTTAGCGCTCGAAAACGTAAAATCATCCGTGAAGAAGCACTTAAAAAATATTTAAAAAAAAAGAAGCAAAAATGCAGGTAGGGGATTTTAAAAGTCCCCTCCATCCGACGGTTCTAACTTATTAAACGAGATTATCTAACGCTGCAAAATTGTTATTTTATAAGTCAAATAAGCCGTTAGCGGGGGGAGGGGGGACTTTTAAAACCCGTCTGCCATTTTCCTTGTTTTTTTTTTTTTTAAAATATTTGCTAAGTGCTTTTTCGAGGTTTTTTGACGTTCTTAAGCGCTCTTTAAGCTCCGAGTGCTCAAAGTCCCGGGTCTCGATTTAATTATCAAATTGTATAATTTGTTGGATTAAATAAGTGTAGATTACGGTGTACACATTGTTATTAACGTTAGAGTTCGTATCGGTGAATTCGCAGATTTGAGATGTACGAACTCTGATCAAAAAAAAAAACAAACTCGACAAATGGAAACCGCGCTTTAAACGGATCGATCGTCGCAGCGCGAACGAACGGGTACGCAATTATTAATAGTCTGAAATCGTGAATAATAAAATTTCGGTGTTTGGTCATAAAAAAAAAATAATCGGACCGCGCACAGACCGGAAAACGGCAGCCGTCCGCGTTGTTTCGGTATAATCAAAGCGGCTCGTCCCGCGAAAACGAAAAGTCGGACGAGACGAAATCGTTTTTCGACACGGGTTGTTTTTTTTTTAACATTTATTTCGACGTCCTACCAAGAATCGTGAATTTAGCTATTATTATACACCCGGCCGTTCCATAGTGATTTATAGCCTGCATTATAATCGCGATAATATGTTTAGTGTCGGTGCAGTATCATATTACTTGGCTATCGTATTGGCTGTCCGTCGCCCGGCGTGGCCCTTGCTAATTTTTTATTCTTTTTACATTTATTCCCGCTTCGCTTTTGCGCGCCTCAGTATATATCGCACGGTACAGTATATATTGATTCAGGTTGTGTTCTGTTTTGCGTTATTCGACATTTTTGTCCGTAATGCGTTTATTCGGTTTTAACGTAATTTTGGTTTTATACAAATGCATACTGTACAATTACATTTTTCCGGAATTCGGTATTCCGAAGAAAATATTTTTTCAATATTTGTTTGATTACGGAGGAGGATTTTGGTTGTGATTAAACGTGCGGCACACAAGTGCTCGCCTACGTTCTACGACCGTGTACAAAAGCTTTTACGGACAATCGCCTACGCAAACGCTTGTCCTTGATGTACACGGTTAATATTTTCTAGTGACGTTGAAGTTTTATTTCGACGCCATTTTGTAAATAAAAGCGCTTAAGTGGGAACGAAACGCAGGGAATCGTCTTTCGTCAACAACGGTTTTTTCGTTGCTTACCGATATAAATGAAATAACCTTGTGTATCACAACTTCCCAACTTCCCACCCGCACAAGTTGCTGCGCCCACGTGCGAAGTATGTCCGTCTTTTCATGAATTATATTCAGGTGATCAGATCCGAGAACTTTAGTCCTTTTTCGTACGTGTTACGGCGTTAAGGCGTTTATTATTTAATTTTCGTCGGCCGTTCCCGCGGTACTCGTTTAGGTGACCGACGTCCCATCTCCAACGTACGATACCGATAACCTGTACGGTATTACGCGGTAAACCGCATTATAATCCGTTCTCAGCCAAATAATAATTATTGCAGTAGATTGTGATTGCATACTGATGGCGGCGTTTGTGTTTATCGTTTTCAGATGCACCCCGGTATGGACGGCCTCGACCTCCTAGAACCCATAACGTCGTCGACGATGACCACGCTGACCCCGATGTCGGACGGTTCCGGACACGGGCCGCTCCACCCCAGCGTGTACGGCGCGGGCATGATGAGCGGCCACCATCACCACCATCCGCATTCGGGCGCCGGGCCCAACAATCATCCCCATCATCATCACCACCATCACCATCACCACGCGGCCGCAGCCGCGGCCGCGGCCGCGGCGGCCGGCATGATCAGCGCCGGCGGCGGCGCGGCCGGTCTCCAGCACCCGGACACCGACACGGACCCCCGCGAACTCGAGGCGTTCGCCGAACGTTTCAAGCAGCGGCGGATCAAGCTGGGCGTGACGCAAGCGGACGTGGGCAAAGCGCTGGCCAACCTCAAGCTGCCGGGCGTCGGGGCGCTGTCGCAGAGCACCATATGCCGGTTCGAGTCGCTGACGCTGTCGCACAACAACATGATCGCGCTCAAGCCCATACTGCAGGCGTGGCTGGAGGAGGCGGAGGCGCAGGCGAAAAACAAGCGCCGCGACCCGGACGCGCCCAGCGTGCTGCCGGCCGGCGAGAAGAAACGGAAGCGCACGTCGATAGCGGCGCCGGAAAAACGATCGCTGGAAGCGTACTTTGCCGTGCAGCCGCGACCGTCCGGCGAGAAGATCGCGGCGATCGCGGAAAAGCTGGACCTGAAGAAGAACGTGGTCCGGGTGTGGTTCTGCAACCAGCGGCAAAAGCAAAAGCGCATGAAGTTCGCGGCCCAACATTGACGGGATTGCGCGCGCCGCGAACGATCCCTTCCTACCTAAACACGTGCTCATTTTATTTGCATTAACGATAACAATAAACGATTAACGGTATTAACGTTTCGGAAAAAACACAAAAAAAAAAAACAAAAAAAAAAAAAAAAAAAAAAAAAAAAAAATAATAATAAAAAATAATAAAAAAATAATACAAATTTAAAATTATTTATACTACACGCGCTGTGGTCCGAACGTCGTAATATTCGTTACGACCGCGTCATTAGCTACAATAATAAGCTTCGAGAACGGTTTCTGTTGAGTTTTGATAATTTTTTTTGCGGCATATTATATTAAATTCCCGCGCGTTTCCGTTTTCGGCACGCCCACACTGCGTAGTGTTTCGCGAACAATTTACTACAATTACGTTAGCGAAACCGATGTACAAACTATTTAAATCCGCTTCTCGTATACACTAAGATATAATCATATAGCATAATTATTGAAAAAAAAAAAAAAAAAAAAAAAAAAAAAAATTCGTCACTATTATGTTCCTATAAAAACGTCGTAACGAAGAAAAATAAACAATACGCTCGTCGAATTGTGAGACCGTTTGTCGTACCACTTGTGCGTCTATAACACGTAGGTTCATTACATAAAATATTCTATACATTGGTAGGAATATAATTTTTGTTCTGATACGATAACGAATAAAATCGAAACCACCCAAAAGTCTCCGTTTCGGGTTCACTAAAAGGAAAAAAAAAAAAAAAAAAAAAA